CATGAAGCCACATTACCCGCCACAGCCATATACAAGTGCCCTGCGACTGAATTAAGCCATTGCCCTCAGTGCATTGTCAGCTCCCCCCAACTTCCCCCCCCCCCGTGTTTGTATTGCAATCCCCCCAAATCGACTCTCTAGATCCTGGCCGCCAGCAACTCCCCCTCCCCCCACTTCCCATTGCTGCTATTGCTACTGCCACTGCTGTTACTGCCGCTCTGCCGTGCACTTACAACTTGCCACTCGCCCTCTCCGTCCTCATGGCTAACAACGTCCACTCCTCTCCCCACGCCAGAAAAAAAACCGCCAAACTACAACGGAAGTAACGACACAACGTCCGTGCTGTGCCTGTATGTGCCTGTATGTGTGTCCTTCGCTGTGCCTGTATGTGTGTCCTTCACTTGTCCGCTTGGGAAGGGGCCAGTTGGAAACCAAACCGATTACTAAACCAACCGAACCAGGCCAACAAAAAAAGCAGCTGTAGCAGCAGTACCCAAACCCGCTTCACGCCAAAAATCTGCTTTCCCGCCAATGACGTGGCGGCCCCCAATCACACACACACACACGCACACATCATCCTCGTGGCGTTGAAAACCCAAACTCAGCAACCACCAACTCCACAAGTTGGGTAAGAGACCGCGCGCGATAGCTTAAGACCACACGACCAACGCGATGAGTCGAAGCGAGGGGCAGTCCATTAAACGCAATCTTTTCGCGCGGTTAGATATCAGGGTGCAGTTGTACGGTGCCGTACACGGTGTGTTGCGAAGCTAGCACATACAAGGGCCTGGATAGCCGTTAAGAAACGGTGGTTGGGAGGAGAAACGCAGCACCAGTCCCGCACTGGACTGGAAACCGAAATCCAAACCCCCAAAAAACAAGCACGCAAATACACGCTTGTTCAAACGTGGCGAACATGGCGAAGATGGCACACGTACGTTGCCAAGCCGATGGTAAGGGAGAAGGCCCGGGGCCCCCGTCCGCCTGCCCGCCCGCACGTGGGCTCGCAATGGAGGAAATAGAACAAGGCCGCAAAACCCCAATCATCACAACCGAAATTGTTACCGTGGGTTTATCAGAGGCGGGCGCCAACAGTAAAACAAAAAACGGATAACTGTCGCTCCCCCCCACACACGCACACCCTCTTCAGCACAGCTCCTGTTCCAGCTCGTCCAGCATCTCTATGATTTGGGGGAAGTGGGGCCGGTCGGCGGCATTCTGCGCCAAGCAGCGGCTCAGGAATTCCCGGAGCGGCTGCAGAGGGAGAGACGCGATTAGGGCAACGAGGGGCAGGAGGAGGGGGATGTGGGCGGGAAACACACACACACACACACACACGGGAAAACACATTTAGGAGAGGGAAACGCACACAGGATGGACATTTATAAGGGCCTTGTGGAAAGTGCGAAGGTCCCCGAAATGCGGGTCGGACGGGGGGGCTGGGGGGCGCTGTTTGGGAGTGCACCAGCTGATGCTTCATAGCGGTCAAGTCAGGCCTCGATATGCAATGCAAGTACACACGCACACACACACACACACATATACACACACGCACACATACACAGAAATACAGCCGCATCAAACACAGCTGACTAGATCCACCAAGTCGCTTAGTTGCCTTTCGCCGCTGCAGCGCCTCCGCTTATTTCTGGTGCGTCTGGCGTCTTTAACCTCCTTACCAATATCTACAACGCCCAGTTCGTTCGTTCTAGAAAGTTTCTAATAGTCAACAGCAACGTGTGCTAGGATATCATTTTCAAATGAAATCTTAACGAAAATGATGAATTCCTGGAATGTTTTACCACACGTCGCCGTTGGCAATTCGGAAAGCTCGCCTCGGTGAAGTTATTCTCTAAAAAAGATGTTATCACCACCAATCGGCATTTCCCCCATCGCGACTCAGGTCCTTAAAACAGAGACACATACAGACACACACATGCACACACAGACATACAGACACACACAGACACACGGGCGCGCACGCACGTGAATACAAATACACACACACGCTACGCCCACACGCATCCCCTCTCAACACATACGTACATACATGCAGACATACGCACGCTCTACATATACACACAGAGTTATGGGCAGCCACAGACAGACATACACGCTCACCTGGGGGCAGCTGGCCCCAAGGGGCAGCGGCTTGCCCGTCGTTATGGCATGCAGGATCTGCCCGTGAGTCAAACCGCCGTACGGTCGTTGACCCGTGTACATCTCCCAGACGATAACTCCGAAGCTGTCGAAGGGGGGAAATTGCGAGAGCGCGCGATAAGAAAGAGGGCATGTACGACATTTTCAATCACCCAAGGCTTCCCCTGCACCACTTTATTGCCCCCTTCCTTGTCCCCCCTATACCAACATATCCCCTTTCAACAAGATTTTTCTCTTTTTGGAGGGCCGCCCTTCCTCTCTCGATCTGTGTCCTGTCGTACTTCCCTGTGGCAGCCAGCCTTTCACAATGGCCTCTTTCCCTCTCCCTCGCCCCCTCGCCCCCGAGCCAAAAAACACGCAGACACACACACCCATGCGCACGCAGGTGTACATCCCAAAAGTCCTCTTCCCCTGCTCCTTCCCCTCCCCAGCTGCTGGCGCTGCCGCCGTATACCCCTGCCGTACCTGTACACGTCAGCCGCCTTGGACAGCAGTCCGTCTACCAATAGCTCTGGAACGCGTTGGGGTTCGAACCCGGGTTGCAGCGGATTGGGGAGAAGAGCAGTAGAAGGAAAAGGAACGCGGGCGCGGGATGACGGGTGCAATAATTGAGTTCGGTTGCAAAACAGCCCCCCTGGAGTGGGGAAATGGGAGAGCATCGTCGCAGCTCAAACAAACACCTCCCGCCCGGGACACAACACCAGGCAGGCCCCCAGGTTTTCTCCCTCCCCCCACCAACCCCCGGGATCTCCCCCCCCCCCGGCACCACCATCATAACCCAACACAACCACCACCACACACCTGGGCACATGTGGGTTATTGTGCCGTACGACCGCGTCGTAATCGCCTCCCCCTGCAGCACCCGGCTCAGGCCAAAGTCCGCCACCTTGGCGGAGAAGTGCCGCCCGTCACGGTCGCTAGCGGCGAGGAGGACATTGTTGCCTGAACAGGACACGTTTCATGGGGAGGGCGGGAAAGAAGCCGGGTCGCAACTTGACTCTTTACACAGTAATGAAGTATTGTTAAGAAATACGCAAGTATGAAAACTCTCCCCCCACATCCCCACCCCAGGGGGGCCCCCCCATATCCCCAGCCCCCAGCCCACTCACCCGTCAAGTCCCCGTGCAGGATGTTTTGCGAGTGCAAGTACGTCATGGCGGCCGCCATCTCCCGCGCCGTCAGCACCAAGGCCTTGAAGTCCACCTCAAACAGCGAGTGGCGCTTGCGGAACCAGCCGCGCTCTATGGCGTCAGACAGCCCTCCCTGGAGTGGTAAGACATGTGGGGCAGGGGGAAGGGAGGGAGTTGTTGGGCATGTTGCTAAAGATGTGTAAAACTGGAGGATTGTTTGTTGGGAAAAAGGAGAGGGAAAAGGTTTCCACATCCATCTGATAGAGGCACGCACAAAAAAACACGAAAACGCGCAAATCCTCCGTACCATACACACACGAAGACACGAACTCATGAAGACCAAACCCCAACCACACCTTGTTGCAAAACTCCATGACCATCCACGTCTCCAGCATGGTACGACCCTCGTTGTCGGCATCGGTCGCCTGACCCATGGGTCGAGTGGAGTGCTTGTACGTCTGTACTATGTTGGGATGGCTGATCTGCACATCATACATACGCACATACATACATACGCACATGCATGGCAGAGGTGACGGGGAGGGCGCGAAGTTCTCTAGCGAAGGGGGGAATGTTAAAACCAACGAAGCGCCGGACCCCAGCCGGGTCCTATTACTGTGGCTACCATTGCCTGGTATATGAGTGTCGATCATTTCCAACAGGGAAGAGAAATGGAAAGTAGTATTGGTCCCACGAAAGCCGGTGCGCGGGGAAAACTATCCGGGGATGCAAAGCCGTAATTACACTGCCAATGCCTCAACATATAAACTGCCAATAATACATCCAAAGCACTGCGTTGTGTGCAGAGCGAGGGGTGAGGTGGATAAGGGCACTGGCGGGAGGGGGAACATAAGGAGGTTACGAAAAGGGACTTTGTCCCCCTCCTTTCCCTACCGACCTTAACCCCACACCCCCTTTCCCTGACTCCTCTCCAGCCCCCCAACCTCACATCCACCCCCCAAATACACCCCATCCAAATTACTACCCAGAGCCCCTTACCCTCCCAACTCCCAGCCTCCCATCCAGCCACCCTTTCCTTGCATGAAGGCGGCTGCCGCAGATATCGGCCGTTGTTCCTTCGATTCCCTTCGATAGACTTTCCTTCGATAGACTTAACACCATCGTATAATCCCCTCTTTCACTTTCGCACGCGCCCATGCACCTTCCCCTCTTGCTCGTTTTCGCATACACCGCAAACCCCATCTCATCTCACCTCCAGCGGCCCCCCGCACCCCCACCACCCCCACCACCTTCTCATACCTTCCCCCCTGAACCCCCTCTACCTGGCTCCCCAGTACGGCCTCCAGCACCTCCAATCGGTCGTCTTGCTGAATGGTCTCCAGAACCTTCACCGCTACCTGAGCACCGTTCCACACACCTGCCGCCGCGGGGGAGGTGGGCAGGAGGGGGGAGAACGGGGGGGAGACACAAGGGGGCGGGGAACAAGGGGAAACACAGGGGACTTGTAAGTGTAAGGGGCGGAACATGCAACCCAAGCAATGGGCCATGTAAGCTTGAAAATTAGGTGATTTAGAAAAAGTACTCATGAGGCTTAAGCGCTATGACGAACTGACAAAAGAGTTATAAGATTCCACTTTAGGACGAGCAAACAAAACGAAGAATTGTAAGAATCAATCGACGATAAGTCCAAAGCTGCAGACTGCCGCGGGCGCCCGATTTGATGATGATAGGGTAACTGCCCGGTAAGAAGATCGAACTGCCCGGTAAGAAGATCGAACTGCCCGGTAAGAAGATCGAACTGCCCGGTAAGAAGATCGAACTGCCCGGTAAGAAGATCGAACTGCCCGGTAAGAAGATCGAACTGCCCGGTAAGAAGATCGAACTGCCCGGTAAGAAGATCGAACTGCCCGGTAAGAAGATCGAACTGCCCGGTAAGAAGATCGAACTGCCCGGTAAGAAGATCGAACTGCCCGGTAAGAAGACTGAACTGCCCGGTAAGAAGATCGAACTGCCCGGTAAGAAGATCGAACTGCCCGGTAAGAAGATCGAACTGCCCGGTAAGAAGATCGAACTGCCCGGTAAGAAGATCGAACTGCCCGGTAAGAAGATCGAACTGCCCGGTAAGAAGATCGAACTGCCCGGTAAGAAGATCGAACTGCCCGGTAAGAAGATCGCATCCCTTCCCCTCCCCCGCTCGCCTCGCTTTTGGGGTTTTAGGGCATGAGCATATGCGCGGTCTGTGTACCCCGCCACCTTTTTACCCAGCTTCTTTCGAGCTTTCCTCCTCCCCCCCCCCCGCCCTCTTCCCCCCATCAACCCACCTCTATACACCCGGCCGTACGACCCTTTTCCCAGCAAAGGCCCCAACTTGACGTCATCGAACGGGTCGATCTTGGTGTTGATAATCGTAAACCCAGGACCGCGCTGTGGGTACCGGGGAGGGGACGGGGGGTTTCGAGAAAAGTGGGGGGTAAAACACACACGGAAGGCGTTGGGCGGGTGAGACATACATAGATAAAATTACATAAAAAAAAACACGTCGTGGACAAAACGCAACATGTGAAGGTTCGAGTTTTCAAACTGGGGGATTCTAGCCAGGGTTTTTAAACGAAAAGGACGCCAGGGGCACGACAACTCCGGAGCCCCTTCCCCATCACACTACCCTCCCGCACCCCACCCAACACACCGGCAGGAGTCGTTAGCACTTTAAACTTCACCGTGGTGAGCTAATTAAAAGGATCCCATATTTTTATATCTTCATTCTTCATGCATGATATCATATGATATCATAGATACCCCTCCCCTCGCCATGCTCCCCTACCTCCCTCGCCATGCTCCCCTACCTCCCTCGCCATGCTCCCCTACCCCCCTCGCCATGCTCCCCTACCCCCCTCGCCATGCTCCCCTACCCCCCTACCCCCCCGTCCAAACCTGCGAGCGAGTGGAGAGCTCCGCCGAAGCCCGGGGACCCGAGCTGAGCGTGACGAAGTAGTAGAGGGGCCCACCGGCAGCGGGGGCAGCGGACAAGATGGAGGGAATACCCACCTGCGGAGGGGTGGGAGGGAGGGAAGGGAAGTGAGGCCAGGGGAGGGGGGGAAAACATGACGACGATGACGATGATGGTGATGATGATAATGATGATAAGAGCATGTGGACTCCGGAACCTCTGCACACGACAAGGATACGACGTTTGTCTTGGGGGAAGTAGGGAAAGGGAGGAAGGAACCGAGATGAATGAGAGGTGGTGAGAACAAACAGCATTTGGGGAGAGGAGGAAGGATCTCCCCATTGGCGGGATTTTCCCCCTCCCCCCCCGAGTTACCCCACCCCCCAACACATAACCTCCCGCCTCTACCACAAAATTTCCCCCACCCATTGTACCTCTGATCCCCTCACATCTTATATCGTGCTCTCCCCTCTCTCCCCGCTACGACCCGAAACCCCCCACGGCGGTCCAGCCAGCCCAACTCCCTCAACCCCTTCCCTCTTCCCCTTCCCTTGGCCTCTGGTAAGCAAATGGTTCCCAAGCCCTCATTCCCAGAAAGCCCGTGAGCTCTCCCTCCACCCCACAAGCCTTACAAGCGGCATGTACGAATCCATTGTCGTACTGTGTGCGGATCGAAACTGGAGGTTGATGTACCGCCTGGCCCCCGCGGTTGCAATAGCTCCCACACCCCCCGACAGCGCCACGTTGCTACTGCCGCAGGCAGCGCTGCTGCTGTGGCTGCTGCTACTGCCGCCGGCGAAACTGATCGGGCCCGCTGGCGACGCCGCTGCCGCCGTTGCCGTAGATCCTGCCGTACCCGTCGCGGCTGTTGCTGTGTAGTACACTGAGAGGCTGAAGGACTCCTGATTCTCAATGGCGGCGTTGTAGCGGAGTCGGGACGTCTCCGGCGGCTCCGAGTCCGAGGTCTGATGGACGAGCAGGACGAGCAGCAGTACAGACACCACAAAGTTAGCGGAGATGAGGGAAAGAAGGTGATGGGGAAGAACAAGTTAAGAAAGGTTTAGTTCGGGGGAAAGGAAACGTTCTAGGAAGGAATAAGATTGAATAAAGCACGTTCTAAGCTTCCTAATTGTCCCTTGAGGAATCGGATCGGGTTATAAAGCGTGCCACGAAGCAGGGAGCCACAAAAAGAGGGGCACGGTTGGAGTGGGGACCGGGAGGTGAGAAATCCTCCAAGCCAAACGCAGGTGTGAGATTTCATCGCGGGTAAAGAGCGCCCGTGGAAACCAAGCCCCTCCCCTCCGTTTCCCGTCCCCCTACTCCCTCCGCATTTAAGAACCCTTCCCTCCCCCCTGTCTCATCTTTACACACACCTCCCCCGTCTCTCCCTCCCCTCCCTTCCTCACCGCAAATGCCTTCCAGAACGCGTCCCCCGAGAGGCTATCCTTGGGTATTCCAGTGGCCTTCTCCCAGGCCTCGTTGACAAACATGATGGGCCAGGTGGGAAGAGACATGTTCACCAACATGATGCCCTCGCTGCGGGGGGAAAGGGGTTCCGGGGAAGGGGTAATCAAATGCAAGGAATTAAGGCGGTAACTGCCGGAAGGATGTGTGTGTATGTATGTATGCGTTCGAGGAGGTGTGTGCGTTCGAGGAGGGTAATCAAATGCAAGGAAATTAGAAATGAACTGCCGGCAGGCGTCCAAAGTTTGAAGCTGCCTGCAGGTGCCCTAAGTGATGATGAAGTCACTAACCGAGGGGATAAGGGATGGGGGCCAAAAGACGAAAGGCGGAGAGAGCCGCAGGGGGAGGGGGGAAAAGGAATCAGGAGGGGAAAGGGGAAAATAATTCCTTGTTGTGTCGGTTGTAAAAGGAGTTATTCTGTTGGCATAAACCAATCGTCCTCGAGGTTGCCGATATCCTAAGGACCGCACACTCAGCACACCTCGGTCCAAAGCAACTCCCATATTTCCCCCCTCCCCATCCTCCTACCCCCCCCCAAACAACCCCGTGTCCAACCCTGGTTCCACCCCCCCCCCCGCCCCCCCCCCGCCCACTTGAAGCAATCCAGCGCCCTGATCAGCTGGTTATTCTCCCGGTACAGCTGCTCGCTCTTGGCCTTCTGCGCCTCCAGCAGCCAGTCCTTCTCAATCTCTCGGACCACCATCTCCGCCATGTTGGCCAGCATGTTGCAGGACTCGGCGTCGAAGACACGCGGCTTGTTGTCAATGATGCACAGCGACCCCAGCCGCAGCTTGTTGGTGGCCACTAGGGGGCAACCCGCGTAGAATCGGATGTGGGGGGACCCCAGCACGAGCGGGTTGTTGCGGAAGCGGATGTCCTCCAGGGCGTTCTCCACCACCAGCACCTCGGGATATTCAGGAAGGAGCGTCCTATTGAAGTGATGGGGTCGGGGAAGCGGGGTAAGAAGAGGGGAGGGGTAAAGGGAGGGGGAGGGGGAGGGGTAAAGGCGGGGGTAAGATGAAGCACTGGCGAATGAAGCAGATACCAAAGATAGACGGATAGGGGTAAGGGGGTAAGAAGGGTGGGGTGGGGAGGAAGAGGGAGAGGAGGGGGGAAAGGCTCTGGTTGGGAAACCATGGTTGTCTGCTTGAACACCAAACTGCCCATGGGAAGGAGCTGCTCCAAGCGGGAGGATATGCTGAAAAGGGTGGAGGGGGGAAAGGCTCTGGTTGGGTGGAAACCATGTGCGTGTGAGAAAGGGGGAAGTGAACTGCTGCCGACACCAAATGTCCGAAACTGCTGGAGCGCAACTCGATGAAGTCATCGACCCGTGGTTTGGGAGCCCAAGCCCATTTGGTCGGGGGGAAGGAAAGGGGAGGGAAGGGGAGATGTTTTTTTTTTAATGAGTGCGGGCGGAGCTAAAATGAATCATCATCGCCGAGGGTCCTCCGTCCCCAGCCGAGGGTACCCAGCCACGGCTCCGCAGCCGCCGACGCCGACGCCGCCATCACTGAGGCTCCAGATCGCTGTCATTTGCCATGCCGCTGCGTTTGCTGTTGCCGCCGCTGTTGCTGATGCTGGAGCGCGCATATTCGCTATTGGTGTAGCGCGAAGTCGGCGACCTGCTTGCTGTTACTGCTGCTACAGCTCTGTTGGACACGCATATATGTATGTATGATGTGTGAAACAGGGGGGTGTATCTTCGCCCGTGACAGCTACCCTGCCTTCCCCGGTATTTCGGGGCACCCTCATCCAGTCACCCTGGTCAACTTCTCAGTGGATCTGCACCCACCACCAGCATCCAACGGAATCTGCCGGGTCGACAGCGGCCCAACCCCGTTCCTGGTCGGCTCGCGGGTTAACTTTATCCCAGGTCACCACCGTCCATCAACTAGGGGGCGCAATGCCTTCCACCATCGGAAGGACTTCTGACCCTAATGGGTATCGATCCCGGGATCTCCCGGGGACATGGTCGTATGTACGTATGTATGTATGTCTCTCCAGGTGGGGCTGCGACTCCCGCGGGGAAGCTGGGGCAGCTTTGGGTTTTGCACACAGTACCGGTACGGGCGTGTGGAGGGAAATAGGTGCCTGATCAAGCACCGGGCAAGTGAGGACGAGCCATGCAATGACAGGGGGTTATGTGCGGCGCGTGACACGAGCCATCGCCATCACAGCCGTGTCACCCGGGAGACATACATACATACATACATACATACATACATACATACATACATACACAGTCGATAAGGTTCGGCACATTTACACAAACACACACAGCCACCATCTTTTCCTATTCCTTCCCGCTGCTCGCATCATTAAAACACAGATACAGACAGACAGGTAGATAGCTTCACCACCCGCTAAACCCGCAAAAGCAACCATACTAGTACCACCACACGCCTTCACGAGCCAGTAAAACCCACCATGCGCAGAATGACGACTTCCTGTCGGTTTGTCGTACAGGTAGCCCCTGCACCGACTTGAACCACTGCCGGTCCTTGTCCACCAGAGAGACCAGGGCTATGGGGGTCTGGGTGTGGGAGTGTCGGGTGGGGATGTGTGTGTGTATGTGTGTGTGCGTGTGCGTATCTAAGGGGGGGAAATGCGTGTGTGTTTGTGTGGTTGCGCGGGCGCGTGTGTGCATGTCTTTGGGTTTGTGTATGCGCGAACGCGTGGGGACCGCGATCATATAAGCGTCTGTGTGTGCGGGAACGCGGGCGTGACGGAGAAGCGGGAAATCATCATGCATTCCAAATGCTGGGAAAACCCACATCCACATGAGGCCAGGGACGGAAATTTGGCACGGGAGTCATAGGTACAAAAGTTAATTACTGCCGACGTCCAAAGCATGAAGTTGGTGGTTCATGGTTTGGACCACCAACCGTCAACTTATAACCCAACGCAGGAGGCGAAACGGTGGTTTGCTGAAAGGAGTCACCCGCCCGCCTCTACCCGCCCCTCCGGCTTATGCAAGCTATCATGCAGCTGTCAACCCATCATCGCAATGCAGCTATCATCGCCTGTGAAGGCGGTGCAAATGAGGAGAGCTCGCCGCATGCATAGCATCCCTCACAATCGCACAACTCCGTGTTGTCCCGCGATCCCTGTTTCTGGGTCAACCCAAGCTGATTGCGCAGGCTGCGAGAGGGAGGATAGTGCGTGCGGTATGAGATGTGCAGTGTACGTGCGCGGCGAGATGGCGGATGGGGCGGTAACGGTGGCTGGTGGGCTGGTGGCTGAGAAACAGCCGGTAGGAAAAGACGGTGTTAAAGGGCCGGGTTTTTTAACGTATGTGTGTTGGTGGGAGAGGGGGAATTTTAATATTACATCACAGTAATATGTACTGTGATGTACTTAATAGGTTAGGTATCTATCCGTAAATACGGTAGTATTGTTCCTTAGGCTTAAGAATGCCGTTGGAAAAATATGGAATTTTGCAGTCTTTGCGTCAGGTTTAGGTTAGTCGAGGCCGGAGTAAGGAAAATGTGGATGTACGCGTTCCGTCGGAAGTTATACATAAGCGCGCGCGCGCGTGCGCTAACACATGTGGCACGCCTGCCTGTGTAGGATAGTTTGACTCGAAATTTGGATGCATAGAGGTTTGCATGGAGTTATTGCGTACCTTGAATACAAGACAGCACAGTCGGGTGATGTCGTCAAATCGTTTCTCGGGCTCCTGCAGGGAGGAGAAATAACGTTGTGCGCAGTTTTTGGTGCCGTTTGCACAACCAACCCCCCCGCACAGGCGCAGCTGCGAGACTCGCAGCCTTACTTTTCAATTTGCGTAGGTAACAGAGAGCAAAGAGCGCTTGCGTACACTTACAGTATCCAAGATGCCGAGCCTGCAGAGGAAGCCCATCCGCTCCTCCTCATCGAGCGGCGGTTCGGCCCCTTTATGCTCAGGCTCGCCCTGCCCATTTGATTCATTTGATGCAGAGATTTGCGCTATAGGCACTGACGGACGTACTGGGGATGGGGCTGCCGAGGGCGTCGAGTTCTTAGCCTTGGCGCTTGGGGGCGCCGCGCCCCCCGCCGAAGGTGAGGTTGGGGCCTGTGGCAAGCGTGGAGGCACACGTGCGCATGATGCGCATCCAATTTATGAACGTTTGTGCTGGAGGCGTCGCCGCACCAGGCAGAGGCCACACCAATTCGTCAGCTGGTTGCTCCCTCTTACGCTAACCTCGCGCTTAGCCCTGGCTTTACTCGAACCGGAACCCATTTCTTGCACCGCTTAGCTGTAATCTATTTGTTCGCAACTCTAGTTACTATGTAGCCCTGCTCGGGCAAGTTACTATCCTCCATCACCCGTTATCACAAAGGTTCGCAGCTATGTGATAGCGGTATTGTGCCGTTGTCTTTGACGCCAACAACCGGCGGCGAAAGTGACGCGCACGAACTGCATTCCGCACAATGTACGACTCAACGTTGTGCTCGAAGAACTTGTCTGAGTTTCTCATCAGTGGATAACATGATGAGATAACTTGTGATTTGCCTGTGCATCCTTTCCATTTGAGCTATCGAGATAGGCTGCAGGGCTTGACAGTAGTAACAAATAAACAGGAGAAGAGCTCCTACCCGTTAACCTGATACACTTGAGTTACCGTTTATCCTTTTGCACATCAAAAGTTTATTAGTCTAAACCAAAACAGCTGAGCCACCTCTCCATGGACGTACCATGGCGCGTCCAAACCGCCACGAAAGTGCGGTAGCCTCTAACTTTCAAGTAAGGTCACATGACGTTCGCTGACATATCATGTATAAGAATTAAAGCATCAGGCAACCCTGGTTGGCATGTGGGCATGGCGCTTCCCGACGTCCGCATTGCACCCAGTCCGCACTTGGACCTTTCCTAGGTCCATGACCATCACGTTCCAAACCTTATACGTTTTTGTCTCCCGATCATGTCCTAACTCCCCGACAGCCCGCGGCTCCGCCAACCCCCTTCCCTCTCCTACTCGTCCTGCTCAAAAGTCACGCATGGAGACATTTAGGGCCCCACTCCTTGCCTTTAACACCTTTCCTTTTACTTCCTGATACCCCATGTCCTCAGAAGCGCGATGCTGCCCCCTCTGCACCTGCACTCCGGCACCTCACAGAAGCCCACACAGCCTCCCACGCAGCCCTGGCCAGCCTCCACCTCAGGAAGCGGCAAACCAGCTGCGGGTTCGGCGCCTGGCTTCGGTCCCCTAGGCGCTTCACGTGCTGCCGGTGGTTCCGGAGCTGCAGGTAACGCCTCACACCCTCCACCGAAAGCCGGTGGTTCCGGAACCGGCGGCACCACCGCTCCCACTTCTCGCTTCACAGACGCTGGCACTGGCGGTGGCGTCGGCGTCAGCAACAATATCACCGCCGCCAACGGCGGCCGCGCCCTCCCTGGATCATCCCAGGCCGCGTCACAGCCTCGCCGCGGCGGTAGCGCAGGCAGCAACCATGGTAGCGGCACGCCGCCAGATTTGAAGCCTTCGGGCACGCAACAGCTAATGCCGTTCCCTCCGCCGTACCAGCAGCAACAGTCACAAAGCCTCCCACAAAACGCCTTGTCACCATCCTCACTATCGATACCACAACCACCACTCTCCGAACTGGAGCAATATCACCAGCTCCTGCTGCAACAACAACCCATCAACGGCTACCAGGACCCTGAAGAAGCCGATCAAGAAGGAGCAGAAGGGGAAGACGCAGCAGGACAGCTAGACGATGAAGCTGCACAACTCGCCTTGGAGCACCAGCAGGCGCAAGAACAGCTACAACAACTACAGCAACTTCAAAATCCGCTCCTGCACAGTAACAACCCCTATCTGCAGATCCTGGCCCAGGCTGGTGTCGGAATTGGCGGCGGCGGTCCTGGCAACCTGGCAGCTGCCGCACAAGCCGCTCACAAGGTTCAGCAGGCCGCGCTGCGTAAGCGCGTTCAGAGGGACATAAAACGCATGCTGGCACGAAACCGGGCCTACCAGCAGCAAGTCAAGGGGCCACCGGCCATATCGGCGGAAGCCCTTGCGCAGCTGGCGCAGCCCAAGCAGCGACCGGGCTCACGGCCAGATCCGCAGGTTCGGATGGGTTGGGCCACGGTCCCTTTAGGAATGAGGGGAGCCCCGGGGGCGTCCGGGGCTCTCCTCTCCTTGCCAGGCTTTCTCCGGGCCGTGATGATCTATAGCCTGAGGCCGAATGTGCAAGTGTTGGGGAAGGGGTAGGTTTAGGTTTAGGCATAACGGCGGTTTCGGTCCGGCTTGTGTCTGACCGTGTCTGACAGGAGGCGGAAAGGTTGGCCCGCAGCACGCCGTGTGCCGTTAGGCGGAGTTTCCGTTGTGTTGGTTGCAACCGTTACCATTGCTGCTGCTGTTCGGTTGCCATTCTTTTTTTCCGTACTGCTCTCCCACTCACTCCGTATCGGGATCTGTCGAAACACCGCGATAGAAATCACAGGTATCGTTGTATTTTTTTAAGCCAGGCCACTTCGTATGGCATGGTTGGTTGATGGTTGGTCGTTGGTGGTTGATTCTTCCGCAGGTGGTTGCGAATCTGCCGGATCCGGTGGAGTGGGCTCGCTGGAAAACGGACCAGCTGGTGATCAGTCGGATGGCGGAGGAGCGGAGGCAGGCGGAATGGGCGGAGGAGAAGAAGAAGAGCGAGGAACAATTGGCGGCATTTCGGCAGCAGAAGATGGAGGTACGAAGCTCACGAGTGTGTGCTTGTGCTGCTAAGGTGTGCGATGAGTCCCTTGTGGGTGCCATTGATGATAAGAACTGAACCACAACACGCATACACAAGACATGCACGTCTAGGGGCTTTACGTCACTCGCTCATGTTCGAGTTTGGCCGCTAAAAGTGCGATGTGTACCCAGCGAACACCCCTCCCACACACCCCTCACACCCCTCTCCCGTCCGCGGGAGAGAGCTTAGGCGACCTTGGGGCCTGGCAACAGCCCCTGGCCAGTGTCAAGCCCGGTCAGATACTTGTAACCTTCACACACAAGCACACACACAAACATACACACATACACGCTCACGTACCCACACGCAGGCGAAGCACGCCCAGGCGGAGGCGAAGGCACGTCAGACTGCTGCAGAAGCTGCCTACCGCGCCAACATGTCGGCCTACCTGAATCACAAGGGCGCACTGGACTTGGAGGACTTTGTGAAGCGCAAGGAGGAGCAGCGGGAGCGGCTGTCGCTGATGCGCAGTAGACAAGTCAAGACGCTGTCCGGGCACCACTACTGACTGTGACACGAATGAAGATTGGCTTGGAAGGAGGCGGAAGGGAGGGAGGGAATGAAGCAGGCTGGAGGGACGGAGGGAGGTGGAAGGTTGGAAAGGAGGAAAGCAGGAGGTGCAACCGGTAGAGTTTGTGGGTGTCACGGTGGCGGTGGCAGCGGCTGTGGCTGTTGTGGGGTCTTAGCGGTGGCGGCGGGTAAGGATGGTTTCTGTCCTCCTTGTCTGTTCTTCTTCTTCTTCTTCTCCTCGTCCTTTTTCATCTTGTCCTCGTTCCCTGATGCGATGTGAAGCGACGGTGGGTGATGATTGATCCTGCCTTCTTCGGTTTTTGTAAGTCCACTCCCCGTGATACCACCTTTTGGTATTGAGCATGAGAGATTTCTGTGGGGCTCCCCCCATCAGTACGTTGGGCTCACCACAGGTAGAGGTACGACGGCAGCACCTTGAGATGTGTCAGCCACAGGCTCCAACAAGTCGTTAGATGATGCCACAAGCAGGTTAATGGAACTGTTGCCCAACACGGTGTTATCAGAATAAGTTAAGGCTGGGGGTCATTCCCTTTCCACACATCCATTATTGGTGGTGAGGAGCCCAGCATCCCTGCGCAGCTGCCCAAGGCGTCGTCCTAAGGAAAACTTCACACGACATCTATCGCTGTTTTCCCTAGAAATGCTCAAGGCCGCATGTGACTCTGTCACAAGACCCATGAGCACCTCGGTGATAGGTACAGTCCAGCGCGCAACATCACCTCATCCTCTTCACGCCGCAGTCTGTCCATTCACCAATAAGCACAGCGTCCGGCACTTTGCCGCAAGTTAGCCCGCTACCGTTCCCGTTACAATACATGCTAGACGTCAGGTTGAGCAATACCCTGGCCCCAGGCCCCAGTAACAAGAAACAGTCATTTGGGAGAACGCTGCGGAAGTGTAGTTGCCAATACGATAATATATATCACTGCACCGGAGGTTACTGTGTGGTGAAGTGCTGCTATGCGGCACCACCGTGCATGTTTTTTAACCTGCCCCATGGCTTGTCCCGCTTGTGTGCTGTATGTCTGCCATGCTTGTGCTATGCGAGTCAGCTGGCAGTGTGCGCGCCTGGGCCGAGTCCAATCAATTCTCGTACATCTCGTGTGTACGGGGCCAAGAGACGACGGCGCGCCCCTGTGCACGTGTCCTACCTAGGGCGTTGCGGTTGGCATTCCCTTTGATCAAAACAGGCCAGTCTTGGCAAAGGTACTTAAGAAGGTGGCCGATGGGATTGGGGATATAGTGCGGCTATCCAGGAAACACGCCGACCAGTGGCGCCTTCTACTCACGTGTGCTGTGTTTTCCTGTCCAGTACAGTTGCTTTCCTTTCGCTCGTAAATCCTGTATTATCCTGTCCCCTCTGGCTCGGCATTGGTAATAATAAGGGAAGGATTTTGGATTACCCACCGTGCCGAATCCCATGGGCCATGGGAGCCAAAGGCCATCATGAACTGGTCTGGTTGGAAAGTTCAGGGCGTAAGATATACATGCAGCAGTAGCAGTAACATTGCTCTTCCGTTCCAGGTCAGGGCCCAGAGAAATACAAACAAACAACTGCACATTCTCACACTCATACGTGCGTTGGTACTTAATGCACAACACATGATCAACATCATTGTACCACCAACATCAGCTCAAGCCCACCTAACACCCGGATTACGACAAGACTTGAAGCCTACATCGATTCTTCTGTTCTGCAATGAAATTAAAATGCATTAAAAGTCCAAACAATCCGAGCACTTGCTATCCTCCAGAAAAATAAGCGAAAGAAACGACCCAAATAATACTTTCAATTCCCTCACCCCTGTCCTCAACATAGCCGCATCCGACTTATCCACTCAAATAGCAGCAAAAATCATCTTCATACGGCCGTTTTTAGCATTCTCCTCAGAACGGCAGGGCAAACTCCTTGAGAGGACAGGCCCCAGTCCCCTGCCACCTCCGTAATAGGCGCCACGACGAGGGCCACCTAGGCAGCCGCGGGCACCTGACCTAGGGACCGAAAAGTGTAATACACCATCTTCAAACGAGGGACCCGCTCGGGCCGGAGCTACGCAGCCAAACACAGTATTTCTTTAAAGCTCGGAATAGCACCGCTGCTCACATGTTCCGGTATTTCTACCCAACGACCTGCCAGCCTTCTACAGGCTCCCCATTCGCAATAACAGCTGTCCCCCTCTCTCCTGTCCCAGCCCTCCCTTTCGCACTTCCTCGCAACCCCTCTCTTGTGGCCCGATTGATGCCTCCATACAGGCCATAGAGACCTGCACGCCATGGTTGTTGTTCTCTGTCTCGTTCTAAAAACGAGACAGAGAGTGATTTGGAAGACTGGGTTTTTCTCGTTTTTTCGCCACCCTTGTCCTTTTCCATAATGCCTTGCATCCGGTCCTTTATCTTCATGCAATTGCTACTGTAGTTGCCGTGGCCACGGTAAATTTCGGTTGTCCTTGCATTTGTGGATGTTTGTTGTTGAGGTTACCATTACGGTTATTCTTAGCTGGCACAACGCCTTACCCTACCCTAGGAACCCCAACGCCCGCCATCTGCGCTCGCTCTTTGGAAAATACTGAAATACCGTAAATGACAGAGAAGATGGCCGAGCCAGCACGGAGTATCAAAATCCCCTGCCGGGCCTGCGGTGATACTGACACGTAGGAGGGCGTGTGGACAACTAAACATACGCGAGTGGACGAGCGTGGCAATGCCAAGGCAAGGCAGGCGCGGGTAGGCGGCTAAGGCATATGGCTGATCACTGGGCTGGGTGAAGGCATGCGGGGGGGCCGGTGCTCGGGCTTCAGAACTTCGGGTACCAGAACATGCCCTTGATGCCCTCGGGGTCCGCCTCGAAGCCCATTTGCCGGTAAAAGTCCACCACCTAGGAAGGCAGGAAAGGAGGAGAGTTGGGAAAAGCCCTGGCGACTCAGACGAAAGACCGAACCGTGGGAAGTTCCAGAAGAAGGAAGGGCGCGAACATTTAGCTCAACTATAGTTCAATTACACGAATTAATGTCTGTGGGTGAAATGAGCTCAGTGTGGAGCGTAGATTGTGTCATAAGAGGATGATCCGATGCGGCAGGGAGGGTGCTGAGACGCATGCAAGGACAGGCGGGAAAGGACCGAAAGGTGAATTACGTCATCACCGGGACGGACGAGAATATTGCATTTTGCGTGAAATCCGTTCAAATCCCGAAATGGGACTGGGAGGAATTGCCGAAGCACACACAATCATATGCCGGCAGCGGCTCTGCCGCGGTATCCCCTTAAACCCGGTGTGTGAGGATGGCCGCTAAGTGGCGTAGCTTTAGACTTTCCGTTCCGCCCCATTCCCCATACCTTCGAGTCCGCGAACAAGGTTATGTTGCTGATGTCCTTGCGCAGCAGAGACCGTACCATTTGCTCCACCAGCGCCTTGCCAAGTCCCTGACCCTGCGTGACAGAGCGTTCGCGCTTTTTTTACAAGGGTGCGCATCTCAACAAACCCCCAAAGTAGTTGGTTGACCTGTGCGCGACTGTGAATGTAGGAACGGAAGGCCTGGACCTGCGCCCATACCCATCCAATGGCGGGAGTCTGAGTGGTGTTCTTCAAGTGCCCGACAACCTTGCTCGCTCACAGCGCAAGCGGGATTATTTACGGCGCCTCATCTTCACGCGCTGCTCCAATGCCATAAGCTGATAGATTGTCTCTATACTGTTTATGTATATGGACTATAATATAGTCCACATAAACAATATTGGACAATGCCGTAAAGCATGTCCGCCACTCATCCTTCCAGACGCAGCCACCCATTTGCCTGAGCCTACGATACCCACGCAAACAACACTCTCAACAAGCATTCGCCCAGGCCCAGGCCATAGACTAAACCAGAAATCCATCTTCGACCCTGGCGCTCACCTGGAACTCCGGGTCCACCAGCACGTCCCAAATGGTGGCATTAAAAGCGTGATCACTGGTGGCACGAGCCAACCCGATGAGCTGCTCCGAAACCACAGCCTCGCCATCCGTGGTGGTTGTGCTTTCAGAGGATCCTGGCCGTGGCGGCAACGTGACTCGCAGCACCAAGCTGGACACCATGAAGCTGTTGCGCAGGGCAGCTTCCACCTTGGAGACAGGGCGAGCAGGCCAGCCGACCTGCGGATGATGGCGGGGGTGAAAGGGGAATTATATGCAAGCAGCAAATGATGGCAGGGTTGAGGCTTATGAGGCAATGATTTACGGAAATTAACCACCCGACTCACGCGAACACAGAGAAGGAAATTACTGAGAAGTAGGACCGCAATACATTGGCGTGGAGGTGCATGCAAAGGGATAAAGGGATAAAGGTGTGGAGATGCATGCAACGGGTCGAAGAGATGGAAGGTGGAATTGTACGAGGGAAGGGAGGCATGTGGCATACTAGTTTACAGTACCATGCGTCCAAGGGCACCGGCGAGGGCTGCGTCAGGACATCACCCGGCATGCCTGGGCCTGGAAAGCCAAGGGCACGGGTGAAGCGCTTCAAGGGCATGGGGGCATAGCCCTGCAATTGGAAAACGACCATGCCCGCTATCCCCAGTCGCGCCGCTTTTACCCCGTCCTCCCAGCAGGCACACCTTGACACACAGGCTCTCAAGGTCGGCAGCTGCCACCGGGCCCCCGTTGCGATACAGGATCTGCGCTTTGCTGCCGTCGGGTTGGGATGTTTCCACAAGCAACAGCTCATCCTGCAAAAGGGCGCCACGACCGGAGTAGACGTAGTAAATGCAGGGAGGGAATGTGGACTGTGGAGCCCTGGATGTAAGGATTGGCCGTGGATTTTGCCCCAGTGCGTTATGTTGGCAAGACGGCGTATGCAGCAAGTTAGGTTCGCTGGGGCGGGTGGTAAGCCACAACCACTTACCACGTCCGGACCTAAGTTGTCCTCAAGTGACGGCTTCTGTGACTGTTTCGTCGTGGTTCCACCCCGCCTGTGCATGCAAAGCAGAACAGTTCTGCTTGAACCGTAAGTTTGGCAGGCATCACGCGTCGTCCAACAAGTACCTCACCCGAAGAGGCCTCCAAGGAATCCGCGGCAGCGCACTCCGCCAGTATCATGTCGAATTTGAAAGCGACCCGTAACACGACCTCTTGCCAGCAACATGGGGCACAGTAATGGTGGCGACCCCAGGCAGTGGGATGTAACACACTTTTGGGGTATATTTCGAAGGAGTGGCGAAGACATGTTTGTTGACAAATTTAATAAGCACGGAATATCAAGGCGTCTTGTGGCCCGCTGCAGCTGATGACCTCGTGTTTCTGCCACACCGCTGCACGTCAATACATACTAGTAAGTAGTGCATAATATACGCCGTTCTAGTGCAGTTCAGCGGCTGCGTTTGCGTGACGCGCGTGCACCGGCCATTGTCGTGAAAAAACAAATTTAGTCGTAGACGCAATTACAGCTGATCAGGGTTCCATGGCTTCTATGGAATAGCCTATGTACTGACGTTATCAAAAACTTATATACTTCGGCTTAAGGACCTTGGCATGCTTAGCTGACTCTCGTGCTTTCTGCGTCTGCGCATACGCATTCCTCTCATGGTCGTGTCGTGCGGAATGATATAGCCAACAGTTGCTTCCGTGAAAGCATTCTCTGACTGTTTACAGTTCTTGTTCCCGGCGAACTTATTCAAGGACAGCCATGGAGCGCTTGCGGCTATGCTGCATCTTTTGCGGAGTTGTTATTTTGTTTGGCGCTGTGGCAGCTGCTGCTGACCTGGCAAAATTGCACAGTGGAAAAGTGGTGTTCGATTGGTGGGACTGGCTAGAGGGTTCGGAAATGGGTTTAGCATCGAATACGGAAGCTCAAGAGCGTGCCGGCGGAACGCCAGATGAAGAACCTTCCGGCACAAAAACACAGCTCCTCTCCAATCCTGCGCTCCAAGTCGAAATCAAAAAGGGTAAGGGCTGTGACCCGTGTGATATGCTCGTACTACCGCGTAACTCGCGGCACAATCAGACCGTGCTAGTTCACGTGATGCCACGAACCTGACTCTCACATCTATTAATGGCTCCGAACCCAGAGAAAGAAGAGTCTTCACTGGAGGCTGCACCGACGGATATCGCCCCCGAGACACCGCCCAGCTTCCCTCCTGAGCAGCCTGCATCAGCGGCTCCGTTACCAACCCCCCCACAAGGGCCGGAATGCCCGTCTTCCGAAAGGTCTGAAACTCCAACACCAAACACAGCCACAAGCACAGATGATGACCTTGGAACCGAGGAGGTTGCAGACACAGGCATCCAAGCCAGCATATCTCCGGGAAGACCGCATGATATGAGCACAGCCCCGCAGCTACCGCAGCCCCACCCACCCATTTCGGACACATCCAGCTGTCCGCCGTCCTCCGATCGACTAAACACCACCTTAGTTTTGGCAGCCTTTCTGGTTGGTACGGCGTTCGGTTGGGCCCTATCAACTTTGGTCTCCTTCAGCCGTGTCCGCACCGCCAAAGCTGCAGCACCACAGGCGAGCTCAGCGGCTTTTATTTCAGGCCCACTAGCAACCACATCCATCTCCACAGAAAACCAGGCTCCCGTTAATCCGCTCAGAACCGAACTCGGGCCACATGGGTTGTCTACAGCTCACGTGGATGATGCGTTGACCCAGATGACAACGGCTGGGAACGCACCGGATAAGCCTAGCTCCCTTCCGGCACAGTACTGCACTCAGCAACTTCGGCCGTCTCAGCCTCCTCGGCCAGCGGCCTCAGAGCGGTCGTTGTCGCGGTTGGGTAGTCATGGACCAAGCCTACCGCCCAAGAAGCGACATTCGCAGATCCGACACCGGCAAGCCTGCTCCACTTTGACGGGGGGTTCAACCGTAGCACCATCACAGTCGATGACATCGATCGCCGCTGCTTCCCCAGAGCGCAGTGTTAATTTCTGCGACAGGAGCGAGCGTCGCCGCAGTTGCGACTCTGTTTGCTGTAGCCCTGCGCTGTTACAACCGATTGGCCGACACAGTTTCCCGGCAGCTGCCGCTGCTGTTGCTGGTGCCGCTGCGGCCAACACTACTGCTGTCGCTGCCGCCGCTGATTGTAAGGGCGAGGATTGGTGCGCCCCTCGATCTGTCCTGCGTTCATCCGGGTGTAGCAGCAGCAGTAGCAGTTGTAATAGCTGCAGCGGCACTAGCAGCGACTGTGATAGCGTTCAGGTTGCAGTGCCTGCGTCGAAGGCGTGTGGGTTGGGAGTGGCTGAGGGTCAGAGCGCCAGCAGCATTCCTCGGCACAAGAGGGACAGTGACTGCAGCAGCGGCCCTGAAGCCCCGGCGGCAGCAGCAGGGGCTCCTGAGGCCATGGCATCGACCGCCACGACGACGACGAAGACATCTTCGACAGTGATTCTGGCACCGCCGGGGGCCCATAGTGATGCCGGCGCCGTGGATGGCGGCAGGTTCATGGGATCTGCGCCTCCCTGGTGTATGGGGACCGACGGTATGGTCACGGCCCGACCTGGAGCCGCGACGGCGGCAACGGTAGCGGCGTCAGCGAGTCAAGAATGCTCCTCTTCAGGCGTTGGCCATCAGCCGTTATCTGGGCCTTCCGGCTGCGGTGTTTTCGAAGCCGGCAGCGGCGGCATGTGCGGAGGATTTACGGATGGTAGTCGTGGGCCCGGACTACATCATCCTGAGTTATCCAGGTGCTACTTGTCACGCCCTTACTACGAGGTGAGGTTGGGTTGGGGGCTATGAGATGGGGAGGTGGGGAGCTAGTTGGTTAAGTAGTGTATTTTAAACAGGTCAGAAGAGGCGTGATGTGTGAATGTGCCGGGCCGTATGGTGATCTGTGAGTCGACCTCTTTCTCTCCCTCACCGTGTATAGCCGCCATTCCCTGGAGTGGTCCCAGTTTTGGATCACCCGGGATATGTTCCCCTCTCGCGATCTTCTCGTCTCGCGACATCCCGCGCTGCCTTTGTCTTCCCTGTGGCCATGCACACTCTCGCACGGCTCTCTTTACGGCGTCCGCACTGCTATCTCCATTCCCATCATGACCACCCGCAGCACTGCTGCAGGCTGCTCCCAGCCTCCTAGCCCTCATCGCATGGCACCGCTTACAAGGGTTAAAACACGCATGGCCTCCTCGATGGCAGCCGCTTACCTGCCGGCCAAATGGCCTCTAGCAAATCAGACATACCAGCCACAGCCCTGGCTTCCTTTGTAGCCTTTCTCGCCTTGGAACCTCTTCTTTATTGCTTTTACAAGCAGCGGATGTGCAACACACACATCAGCCACATCAGCCGCATCAGCCATATGCCGTCCAGTCCTTTCAACAACCACCCAGGAGCCCCTGACGTCAGCGTGCCTTCACAAGATGCAAGCTGTGTGCGAGCACCAATCTGTAAATGGCAAACTCGGAATCCTAAACTGCAAAAAATTGCAGTGGGCAATGTTGACATGCTATTTACCAAACCGCTGCAGGGCGCCATGATGTCAGGTGGCAGCTACCCCGCGACGACTCACAGCGTCGCCGATCGGCAGATGTCCATGCAGGTCCAGGCTTCCCACCACCAGAACCACCACCACCACCTACAGCACTTGCAGCAGCAAATGATGATGCATCAAGCTTTCCTCGCCTACGGACCTACGGGCGGGGAGCTCATGGCCGCGCAGATGGCGGCTCACACGGCAACCATGTGCGCTGTGCTGCAGCAGTTAAGCGCCTTCAGCGCGTGAGTGACGTTGCGACTTGGAACCTTGCGCGGGGTCAGGAAACGCGGGGTTAGGAATGGGGGAAAAGGGGAGGTAGGACTGGTGACGCGGGCAGTGAAGCGGCTGTGGTGGCGGCGGGTCGTGGTGGGGGTCGTTTCAGCGCGGATCCTAACGGTCTGGATGACGGCATCGGCAGCGGGTTCCGGCGACGGTGGCCGCAAGTTGCGGACTTCATGATGTTGGCCGTCTAGATGCCCTCTCGGGCTCATGCTAGGATGGGGGGCGTCCAGGATGGGGGGGATTGTGGTATTTTTCCCAGAAAAGGATGGAGAGAGGAGGGACAGGAGCCGGCCCACAGTTCGGGCGTCGGCCAAACGATCAAGGGGATCAAAGATAAAGACGGCAAAGAGAGGCGAACTGATGGGGCGCCCGCGTTTGGTCATGTCATGGTTCCAGTTTTTCTTGGCTTTATGCCTTAACTTGCCTTCTTGCCCTCGCGTAACCGCCTGTACAGCCGGCCCTCTGACTTCTGCGGCGAGACACGGCTTGCTCTAGCTCAGCCCCGACCCCTGGGTCACTCCGTCATCGCGTTTGGCCCTTGCTTCTCAAGGCGCATGGATCCATGACTGCCCTGGAGCCCTCCTATTCCCACTTACATCTCTTACCCCTATCTCAACCGGCCGTAGGCCCAGCTGCAGCAGGTTTGTTTTCCTTTTTGACACTTACACGTGCTACTACTGCTTCCCATCACTCTCAGGCCCATCGTGGAAATGGTGGCGACTGTGAAGGAGCACACCTGCACCATGCAGCAGCACCAGCATACCATGGTGGAGCACATGAGCCGGCTGGAGGACAACACCGACACCGTGGGCAAGCTAGGGGCCAATGTGCAGGAGGGCACGGGGCTGATACGTCATTTCGTACAGGGACAGCATATGGACGAGCAGAGGGGACAGATGGCGGCGGCCATGCAGGTGGAGATTGGGGCTGGTGGGGATGAGGGAAGGGGAGGGGAGGGGAATCACGCGCGAGGAGGAAAAGGATCAGCAAGGAGGGAGGGGAGGGGGGGTTCATGTTGGGAGGAAGCACCACTCCAGGAGGGGGGAAGACGGGTGAGTTGTGTTGAAATAGATCCGTATGTAAGGCACGAAATGCATTGCCGGCATTCTGGTGGGTTGGAAGGGTACTGAAGCCGAAGGAAGATGCTGTCACTTTGACAAGACGTGTGACTCCCGAAAGCGAGCGACCCGGAGAAAAAAGAGATAAGCACCGATTGTCTTTCCTATGTCCAAATGAGATCGGTTGACGAAAGGACGGCATAAATGTGATGGGGGTGAGCCGGGGAGCCTAAATGGGATACGTAGCTTCCGCGCCCGTGTACTCTTCACGGCGGCCTTATCCGGCCCTGTCCAGTTTCCGCCGCAGGCCTCACCTCGGCCTTACCTGAGCTTCCCTCCAATCCCTAACCCCTCCTCGTCGCCCTGCAGCGTGGCATGGTCTTCATGTGGGTGACACTGGCCTTCTGCTCCCTCCGGCTTGGCCGCTGGGCGGCGGTGGCAAGGTGGGGTGCGGTGGGGGCCGGTGGCGGGAGGGTGGCGGGAGGGTGGCTGGAGAGATCAATGTTGCGCGTGAGGTGTGTGTCTATTAATATGATTCGAGCTTGCGGCCAGGAATGAGCGAGAATGGAACACGAGTAACATTACCGAAGCTTCGTGTGTGTGTGCGTGTGTGTGTGTGTAGCTGGCCTCGGCGAGAGCACGACAGCAGGGTCGTGCGCACCCGGGCCTTGTGCGTTCTGACTGCTGAGGTCCACGTGAGATTCCCTCCAGCCCAACCCCCAAACCCCCGGCCTCAATCCCAACAGTCACTCAACCCGGTTCCCCCCCTTCTCCTCCCCCCCAACACACAGGGTCTGCTCCCCGGACCACCTCGCGCGTCTACACGACTTCCCGCCCACCTCCTCCTTTGACGGCGCCCGGCGGCCCTTTAGCGTTTGGCGAGTGGCGAGCTGGGGTCTGGGAATCCCTGGCAGCGGCGGCAGTGGCGGCGCTGGCCTCAGTTGGGGTCTGGCATGGGCCTGGGACCAGCTGCGGGGTATGCTGCTGTTCCGGCTGTGGCCGAACTGGCTGCGTACGGCGTTTTGCTACGGCAACGAACTGGGTGCGTGGGTGGGGGCCTGGGCTTGGGGGCGGATGGGGTGATGGGAGAAGGGGGAGTAGGGTTGGATCTCACCTAAAGTTTAGATTCTAAAGTTAGAAATCTAATTGAGAACTCTATCTAATAATTAGACGGTTGATTTGGGCCCATTAGATGGCGGTTGGACCGGTATCTAATGTACGACATTAGGAAACGTTACAAAAGTTTAGTTACCGTTCCCCGGAGCTCGTTTCGTCATTTGTCCAGAAGCAATAGCTTGTAGCGATGACGGACACGGGTGCAGGCCCGAGCGAGCCCAAGGGCAAGAAAAAAAGGACAGCTATAACTACAATGGCAAGAAGCTCAAGCCGCAGGCGCACTATGAGAAGCTTAAGGAAACAAAGCGTAGGAGGCAGGTGACCTGGTGGCAGTACTTCAATGTGGTGCTTGTGAACAGCGTGAACAACTTGTGAGCGAAGCCGAGTGGTGATGATGATGATGATGATGGTGATGGGAGGGGAGTCAATGATGGAGAGATGCCGAAGTCCTCCTGACGTACAGAGACGGCTTTGACGTGCATGAGTTATGTGTGGCGTGTTGTCGCGTGATGCATGTATTAGTTTTTACCTTGCGGGCTCCCTCACTTTCCCCAACTCTTTTCCCCCCACCTCCCCGGCCTCCACCTTCACTCGTTCGTGGTTCGTCTTCCTCTCCCCCGCCTCCGCCCCTCCACGGCCCCCCTGTAAATCGGGGTGGGGACCCTTTCCTACCAATATACGCACACAGGCCTCCAGGCCGTCGGGTTCCTCGTCCTCTTCTACGTCGTCCGTCCGATGCTGCTCGCCACCCGTTCCGTGGACCTGCGGCAGTCCTGGATGGTGGACCTGCCGCTGATGCTGGGAGTCGCCTGGGCGGGTGTAGGCGCTTACGTGGTGTCCTGCCTGGGCGGCAGATGGACAGTGTGGCTGCTGGGCTGGTGGCTGTGGTGCGGCGCCGGCGGCTGGCTCCACGCACGGCCGCTCCACAAGACCTGGGCGGCGGCGGTTGCAGCGCTGGCGCTGACTTTGGCGCCCGCGACGCTGGTGGCGGTGTTGCCGTTCCTGGAGTGGACGGACGAGGCGCATGTGGTGATGGAAGGGTGGTGGTGGCAGGGGTTGGCGGCGGTGGCGGGGTGGCTGGGAATGGGGCCGGAAGGGCGGATGGAGGAGATAATGATGATGGGTGATGGAGGGAGAATATGAGGGACTTTTCATGGCGCCTGGGCATTCGGGGGCAGCCGGCATCAGGAGGATTGCTGGGCTTCATGGCGAATGAGGCCTTGGGAAGATGAGATGAGGGAGGATGAGGACCCTCGTCGCCTTTCCCTTCCCTCCTTGTCGTTATCTCGTTATCTCTCTCCCTTCTTCTTCTCCCCCTTCTCTCCCCCTTCTCCCCCCCTTCTCTCTCCCCCGCTCCCCCTCTCCCACCCTCCTCCCATACTCTCGCCTCTGTATTCGTTTGAGCAGCTGCCGACGGGCAAGTGAAGGGGTCCCCACGTGTGCCCGGCGCCCTGAGCGACACTGCTTCCAGACTTTCTGTGGGCTCTTGAAACAGTGGCTGCACAGCAACAGTGACGGCAACATTAGTGGCAACATTAAGCAAGGCACGCATGTGGCACGTATGTACGCAGCTGCTTGGGGGTTGGGAGCTCATACGTGCAATACGTTCGATGCAAGGGCCGCGATTCAGTGTGACATCGTCCCGTGCATGTATACATGTATTCATACACGCATGCATGCGTGCATCGCGTGCCTTAGATCGCAACAAGCAAGATGCAGGCAGCAGCAGCAGCAGCAGCAGCGGCAGTAGCAACAACGATAGGACAGGATTAGACATGGACACTTCCTACATTCCCATGCGTCAGCTGGTTCGGTGATGGTGTGATGTGATGTGTCCATGGTGTATCCGTGGTGGCCGCGTTCGGTATGGTCGCATGTGATGGTGTGGTGCGATTTAGCGGCAAGTAGGCAGGTTGGCTGGTGGGTGATCAGTTAGACCAGTTAGGTACAATCTAGGTAGGCAGGCGGATAGGGACAAGGGGGATGCGTTACAGAAGCTGGAGCCACAAGGCCAGATGAGAGAGGCCCTGCTGTCACGAGCACCTGGGAGAACGCCTTCACCTCAAAGATCCCAAATCCAATCCTCGGTTTGTAGGTGTTAGTCTGCACATCTCTGCATCTGAATAATTCTCCGTGGTGAACGCTTCGTTCTGGTGCCGAGGCCGGTCCCCCAACCCAACATCGGACCACCAGTATTGGGTAGTAATGGCATTGTCCGGGGGACTCGGCGAAAGGTTGGCTGGGCCGGTGCCTCCGGGGGCTCGGGGGGTAGGAATGGGTGATGGATTGGGTGATGGGAGGCAGGCTTGCGCTGCGCCATGAGTCTCCAGTTGCATTTTCTTGTACTCCCCAGCCCTTGGTGGTGTATGTATGTGTGTGGGGGGGAGAGGAAAGAAAGGGAGATAGTATGCGCGTCCTGTGGGGAGAGTCCTCGGGAAACCCCCGATTTACGTTATGGGGATCTGCACAAGCACGTCTCTGTGCATGTACGAGTGGGGATGCGAGGCGGAGGGGGATGTTTCTACCGCACAGCTCCCCGTCGTTTTTACGGCGTGTAGGGACGGGGGATAACGCCCGCTATCGTAAACACAGCGCGACTAGGTAATGCAGTGGAGTGCCTGTTATGTGCCACTAACGTAAAGCCCAAGGAAGCAGCAGCGGCAGCTTCGGTATGGGTCGCGTTGCGGCACGATATGCCTTGCCTGCCTGACTTGTGGCAACAGTTTTGTCAGTAAGAGGCCGCCGGCTTGGCTGCGTTAAATGCGGTCAGACGTGTAGACACGTATGACATCGTTATGACCCTTGAGACGATCCTCGTTGGGAACGGCGGACCGGTCGCTGGCTAATTTCGGAATGGGTGGGTGTATCGTTACGATACACCCGATACGCCCTCCAATTGTAAAGACATGTACGTGTTTTAAGCTATAGCTAACAGCGAAATGGAAGAAATATCGGGCTCGATGTGTAGATTATTAAAGGTGGTGGTGGATCCTTTTGAGGGATGCAGTCTCTTCTTTGATGTTTTGTTTGTGGGCACGGAGGTATGGCACGCGGTCACGCAGATCAATAGATAGAGGAATCAGGACGGCGGTTATGCAGCCTGTGTGTGCAGACCTCTCTTGCGGGGTCAGGAGGCGGTGGTGGTGACGGTGCTGAGCGGGTAGCAATCCCGCTGCGGTGCGATCTGCGGAGTGGGGGTTGTACAGACACGACGTCTGTATCATACCTTATGTCCTGATTTGGACATGTATGTACATGGCGAGGTTTTTCCATTGTGAGATCCCAACCCCGCAACTCACCGGGCGCCATCTCACCTCCCGTGCCTGCTGTTAATAATGTAGTGTAGTTTTTTTAGCTAAAGAATAGAATAAGAGTGCATTCACTGCTGTTTGTGCCCAGCCTTGTTCACGCAATCGTGTATTGTGCATCGCCTTGCTGTTTCTGTAGGTGTTTGGGTCAAGCTTTCCCCCGTCACGTGTTGAGTGAGGTGATGTTACGCAGCTTTCATAGCCCCGGCTGCCACCTGTCTGTCTTCTGTCTGTCTATCTGTTTGAGATTGGAGGTGGTAATGTTAGAAGTTGTAACGTGGCTTTCGTCAAATCGCATAGCGAGTGAAGTGAAGGCGGAACAAGTAATGATGCGATCGTAACGTTTGAAGTATATTTTCAGATTTACGACCGTAGTTGCTGTCAAAGATCTGCACTGCTGGCAAGGAGGGTTAGGGGGATGCCTTTCAGTCATGTTCACCGCTCTTTCCTTCTTGTCTATGTGCCTCAACGATGCTGCATTACACGTTTGTCGGATTTTCCACGTCGGATCTTTCGTCGTCTCCAACGCCGTGCCCCAGGGTTTTTCCTTCTAAGTAATCCGTGCCAAGGGGGGCCGGGTAAACGCCCACTTTAATGACCATAACTGTCGTTGACGTTCCGGAGCGGTCGGCGTTATGTCAACACGCATATGGCGGCGGAGAGGGGAGTCCTTAGGGGAGGGAAACGTGCACCGCCGACGAGGCCCTGTGCCCTGTGCCATGTGCGGAGAGTAACGCAACTCAAGGTACAACACACACACACATGTGCCGTGTCACACAGAGGTCCACCACGGCGGAGACGGAGACGTCGACATCTTTTCCCGGGTAGGCAGCGGCGGCATGGATCATCCATAGGACTCCTGCCCTGAATCCCCGAGCAAGCCCGCACAGGTTAGAAGACAAATGGTTGTTTTACAGTCCAGCCGAGCCATATGGGTTCACGGGCTCAGGAGTTACATGGACCTTGACTATATATAACCGATCATCAACCAAACTCCGGGCAGCAGAATGGAGGGGTGGGGTTCGGAAGGCCGACCGAAGACGGCGTTGCAGTACTTCGTTTTACATTACATTACCGGCCCCAACGTGCAACGCAACAATACCACCAAAACTCGTCCTTGCTTGTCAGGAGGGGTATCACTGTTCGAAAAGCTCTGCTTGCTTGCATGCATGCGTGCATGTATGTATGTTTGTTTCCTGGGAGACGTACGATGATATGGTGATGTGCCGATCTGGTATGCTGGAAGGTCTGCTCCGAAGCCTCGTAGCACATGCATCATCATCGCCAGCAATAAACACACACAACGTAGGGCCCCCAACGTAGGGCCCAAAGCTGCACGTACCTCTGTTCTACCGCCTCCCTCTCTTCATTTGTTGGCCTCTGTGCCACCACCAGCACCACCACCACCACACGCGACTGGCTTCAGGTTACCTAGAAACGAGCGGGACCAGAGTGCTTTGAACAATGCCATCGGCGCAGGCGCACAAGCTCCGTATGCGAAGTAAAGCCACGCGGAAAAAATGAATGAACGCAAAGGATGCGCCGGCCGGCTCCCTGCATGCCGCTTCCCCTCCCTTCCCTTGCTGTACACATCACCTTTGCTCTCTAAGCGTGATAGGAAAATATACATCACGAACGACAGCCTATCACCCCATCTACGATACACCCTATCAACCCAAGGCAAATACCTTGCTCTACACATCCCACTCTCATGCCTGCTATCATCACGTAGCACCACCCCCATCACGAAAGTTCACCACAGGGGGACTTAAGGTTCCCTAGTTTATCAACCTTGGGAGACGTGCACATCAAAGGGGTCACGACATCAAAGGGTTCACACACACCAGACAGGATGATGGAAATTATTAAAGTCGCTGTGATTCTTGTGATGCACTTATCGAGCTTAATGATATCTGGCTGAATGTTTCTTGCTTGCGTCAAAACGCTTAGGGCCTAGCTCCCCCGGACTCCCCCAGCTCACTCGCATCCAGATCCCCACAGGCTCGGCTTTGGGCTATAGCCGTGTCAAGACCTTCGCCAACGCCCACGCCCTTCATTTGGCCTTGGCTGGCAGGACAGGCTGGCTAACTACCTCCCTCGCTCTTGCCTTTCCCTCGCCCGCGCCCCTTGACCTCGACCACGCCGTCGCCGTCGCCGCCTCCCATCCTCCGCTTTGTCTACCCCTTTAGGTTGCAGGTGCGATCGAGCTGTTACCTGCAGGACAGCCTTTTTGACGTCATCGCCGTGGCCACGCAAACTGCAGCTGCTGCCGTGGCGTCGTCATGCCTTCAGGCTTTCCTTGGCGCCCTCTGGCGCTGTATCCGCGTCTGCATTTGTGCCCGCCCTGCACATCCCTCTACCTGCCATTACCACGACCACCTCCAGCGCCGGGGGCTTTAGTAGCAGGGGAGCTGAACAGCTGCTGAAACAGCTTCACGGCAGTTAGGCCGCCACCGCCGCCGCTGCCGCCTCCGCCTCCGCCATTGCCGCCACCACCTCCGACTCCGCCGCTGCCACCTCCGACTCCGCCACTGCCGCCACTGCCGCGGACGCCGCCGCCGCTGTGGCCATCGTACGCCGTCATCTCTGGCTTGGTCGAGCGAACCTCCAGAACACTGCACGACATCCACGCCGCGCCGCTGTACACCTGCGACGGCGTCGCCGTCGGGCAATCTGCCTTACCGCCCGACACCATGCAGTAGTACAGCGTGTCGCCCGCCGTCAGGCCGTGTTGGGCGCAACCGACCAGGGGCGTTACGATGGCGCCGCTACGGCCATCTGAGGTGCATCCGCAAGGATCCGCGGGTGCTACTGCCTCCGGTACGGCATCGGGGGAAGCTGTACGGCAGCCGCCGTCGTCGCCGGGAGCACTGCCATCGGGACACTGCTCTTGAGAGCCGGACTCATTGGGTTTGCAGCTGTACGGCAGAAGCGAACTGGCGAGATCGGTATCGTCCTGCGTGTACGATGTTCGAGTTGCGTTAGTACGTGTGTTGTATTTGGATATTATTGCCTGTTCGGGGGCTATGGCGGCTGTTAGGGTGTGTGCTGAGGTACACAGTACGTACAAATGACAGGTAAAGAAGGGATGTAGGGGGGAGGTTGGAAGGAAGGGAAACGGCGGGGGAGCACGTTGTAAGAACGCTGTAAGCATGTGCAAACGTGAAGAATGTGTGTTATCTTGTTGGTTTCTATTTTCCCCTTCCCTCCCTTCCCCCCCTTCCTCATAACCCCATCACCCAGCCACCCAACCAAATGGCCCACCGGGTTTTTGGAAATCTTCTGCGCCACCGCGGTGAGATCCACCCGCGATGGAGCTGTCGTACAGGTGTACTGCGAAGCTATGACAGATTGGATCTGTTCGGGGCTGGGGAATGTGGCGACTACCAAGGGAGATTGCCCGTTGGCCTGTACGCATCCAAACATACATACATACATACATATACAGAAGGAGTATATAGGAGTATGCTCCTACATACGGGTGATATGCTGCTACGCACATATGAAGAAAGTAGGTATCAAGGAACTTGGAAAAGATGGGTGTGAAGGTGGGTGGGAGGGGGTTCAAAGGGTGTTGATATGAGCCCAGAGTACCCCGAGTGCCAAGATCCCAAACCTTCCTATATCCAAAAAGCCCCACTCTTTATTGTCTTGTTGACGCTATTACACTATTACGTTATTACGTTATTATGTTATTACGCTTAATAACAATACAATGACAAAGAGCTCCAAAACACGCACTCACTGGCATCTGGCGATCAATCCAAGAGCGGTACTTGGTTAAGTCCGTGTACACCCCTGGAGTGCCCTGTTGGCCGCAGCCCCGGCCCCAGGACACAACCCCCAACAGCCAGTCTGTGTCGGAGCCACCGGGTGCTATCTCCGCTGCGGCGGGCGAGGTGGTGAACACGGAGGGAGGGGTGCCGATGGGCAACAGCAAAGGACCGCCCGAGTCGCCTTGGCATGCGTCGATTCCGCCCTGGACGCGGCCTGCATGTTGGGTGAGGTTGTTGTTGTTAGGAGGAGAAGAAAGAAGTTGGCAAATCAGGAAACGTAACGGACCCCGTGAGCCCCCCGGATGTGGAGAATGGGTTGGTATCACCGTGATGTGTGGGGTCTGTTGCTGTGGGAGTGTGGGCGTGCAGGCAGCGCGGAATGTATGTATGCATGTATGCCTGCCTGCCTGCATGTATGTATGTGTGTCGGTATGTCTGCCTGTGCGGGTTATCACCTCAGTGGAAAGGGTGAGAACTCGAGAGCACTCTTCTGAGTGGAGTTAAGTAGTGGTGCTGAAGGTGTTGACCGCAGCTGCAGCAGGGGAAGTACGGGGACCGCCCGGCTGTCCATAGCGATACGCCCAAAGGTAGACGGAGCTACATCCACGCGTCCTGCTGCCAACCACCTAACTGCCAACTACCAACCGCTGGCGCTACCTACCGACGCACAACTGGCGGGGTCCGACGAGGCCGTTGTAGGTCTTGTTGCAGTTCGGTATGCTTTGAGGATACACAACCGCTTCCTGCAACCGCCGCATTCGCAAACCGTCTCAACCGTCGTCATCATTAGCGACATAACCAGGATGCAGGAGCCGATGCAGGAGCGAGTGGGAGGTCAGTGAGAACATGGGCACGTGGGCAGCAGCAGCGAGCAGCACCAGCAGCAGAGCACGTCTAGGGACGGCACCGAGGAGAGGGGTGCTGACCTAGGTGCCAGGGGGCTTAGAGGAGGAGGGCTAGAGGAGGAGGGCTAGAGGAGGCGGGCTAGAGGAGGCGGGCTAGAGGAGGAGGGCTAGATGAGGAGGGCTAGAGGAGGCGGGCTAGATGAGGAGGGCTAGAGGAGGCGGGCTAGAGGAGGCGGGCTAGAGGAGGAGCGCTAGAGGAGGAGGGCTAGAGGAGGCGGGCTAGATGAGGAGGGCTAGAGGAGGCGGGCTAGAGGAGGCGGGCTAGAGGAGGAGGGCTAGAGGAGGCGGGCTAGAGGAGGCGGGCTAGAGGAGGCGGGCTAGAGGAGGAGGGCTAGAGGAGGCGGGCTAGATGAGGAGGGCTAGAGGAGGCGGGCTAGAGGAGGCGGGCTAGAGGAGGAGGGCTAGAGGAGGCGGGCTAGAGGAGGCGGGCTAGAGGAGGAGCGCTAGAGGAGGAGGGCTAGAGGAGGAGGGCTAGAGGGTTCAGGCACAGAAACGGAAGCAGAAGCAAGGGGGTAGTAAGGGTGGGTTTGTCCAGGCATCAGGGGCCACGGTATTTCCAACATCACCTCTTCTTTTTCGCCGTCTTCACCACTACCTACCCTGAGCGTCGACAAACACATGTGTTCTGTGCGTTCAGTCAATGTCAAAGTCAGGTACGGTACTCCATACCTATCATTTGCGCCCTCCGTTTAATGTTCAGTACTACGCACGCTTTCCATACAATAACGCGTACGGCAGGTCATAGATTTATTATCATGTTTCGTACCTGGAGGGTGTGGTAGTTGCCGGTTCCCTCCTGCTTGGCTCCGAAACCCACGACCGTTAAGGACGTGTGGCCGCGGAGCTTCAAGTTGCCTGAGTTCCAGCACGACAGCGCCACATACATACATACATACATACAGATAGACAGATAGACAGACAGCAGGGGGTTACATTCACACCAGGACGCCTATCCACTTGCTCAAGCAGGGGGAGACTGTCATTGCGCAGGTGGTGCAGTCATCCACCCCTCCACCTCTACACACCCCGATCAAACCCAAACCCACAAAACCCCCACTGACGCGTCTAAAACCCCCAGGGAGCACTCAAAACACAAATACACAAGCACATTCCACTACTACAAGTACTAACCCGATGCCACTCGAATGGTTGGTCTCGCGGTGGGCTCATCCAGGAAGCACAGCCCCAGGTCATCTCGGCCCTGTTTGAAAGACCAGCCGGGGTGTACGATACTGGTCACGCACCTGGTCCGCATGTGTACGGCAGTGTAGGCCGGGAGGGGGGAGGGGAGGTTATCAGGTTACGAAGGCAAAACCACAAACCACGGCGGGGTGGGGTTTGGGGAGAAGAGGCTGGTTGAGCGATGGGGGAGAGTGCCACTATGTGCCAGTCAGGAGAGCACTGTGTTTCAAATATAAAACAAAAAAGTACTTAGCAGTACTTCATGTGATCAGGGGGTATGGCAGCCATCCTGCCGCACGATAGCTCCATGCAGCATGACTCACCCGCCTGCTGCTGTGTCTAACTCAAGTTGAGGTACTCGTTTAACCTTTCTCAACCCAGCCCTGGCGCCACCTTCTCCGCCCCTTTGGTAAGTCACGGCAGGCCCCACCCTCACCCCAGCCCACCCGCCTGGCGACCCCCGGTCGGCTATCCGGAGTCTTCCAAAGCTGGTAGCCCGCTAATTACCTAGTGAGGCACTAAGTCGGTCAGCCTGTCGGTCTGATCTCACCAGACATCCTTCCACGGCCATGCGTGCGGCCATTGTGCCCCCCGTTGTGCCCTACCCTGCGGTATTCCCTCGGGTTCGATCCGGGGTTAGCCGGTATATACCTACTACATACGTATTAGGTTTGTAGCCACCCCGCACCCTTATCCCCATTTTTCCCAACCCACACCCTCCCAACACGGCCCGCCAATCCTCCCGCTCTTGCCCCTCCCACACACACCCGCACACCCCAGCGCCTCCCCTACACCGCCAGCCCCCCCAGCCCCCCCAGTACACCTACACCTACTTGCGCACGTCGTAGCCCTGGTCGTCTGAGTCATCCGTGTAGTACCGGCCGACATGCACCGGCGGGTACCTCAGCGACAGGTCGTTGCCGTTCTGGAGGCAGTGGGCGGCGGTCAGCACCAGGGAGGGCGCCACCAGGGAGCCCCCGCAGAAGTGGCGCCCGTTGGCGTCACGCAGCGACACGATGAAGCGGTACCTGCTTGGGGGCGTGCGTGGGTGCGTGCATGTTGTAGTAGTAGTATTAAAGTAGTAGTAGTAGTAGTAAAGTAGTATTAAAGTAGTAGTAGTAGTAGTAGTAGTAGTAGTAAAGTAGTAGTGTAGTAAAGTAGTAGTTGTAGTAATTGTTGTTGTTGTAGTAATTGTTGTTGTTGTAGTAGGTATTGCAGTGAGCCCCAGACCCCAAGAGAATACCCCAGAAGGATGTGCATGTGTTTGGGAGTATCGGTGTTGAGTGTGCGTGGTGTGAGTTCCTTCATATGGCTACAAGCGGCCATCGGCCATCACACATGCAACTCCTGTGCCTTCCGCTCAAAATGACAACACATTGGAGACATCTTGTATGTCTTGCATGTTGGAGGACATCGCTAGGCTTAGCTAGGCTTCATGGCGATGGCTCTTGCTCCTTTGGCCACCCACCCACCCACCCACCCAGCTCACTACACAGCGAGACTCTTCATGAGTCTGGAGCCCACTGTAACAACCACACACCCACACAGCGACTAGTGGTTTGGTTGGCACTGCCTGATCCACCTCCCAACCTGGCCTCCAATTCCTTTCCAGGTGCCTTTAGGGCCGTCGGAAATCGCATTTAGTTTTTCCCAACTGATGGCGACCGGTGGGCAGCATGATAGTGGCGTTGCTACTCCTTCCTTGCCTTCGTTTGCATTCAAAAAAAATTACATTTCTTTTACCAATATATGTGAGGTGCACTCTAATCCTAAACAGGTCCCTGCTAGGTACTGCGACCTGCATTATTATACCGGTTGTGATCGGCATTGCTGCCGCCCAAAATTCTGTACGACAATGGCGGTACGCTGCTTGGTGGATCCGCTGTCGCCGCCGCCGCCGCCAGCACCAGCTGCAACTGCTGCTGCTGCTGCCGCTGCGACTGCTGCCACTCACTGGTGCTGCTGGTGCTACTGCTGCTGCTACTGCTGCTACTGCTGCTGGTGCCCTTAGAGCCAGAGACGGCCCTGCGGGCGCACAGCGGAGCGAGGAGGCAGTGTGCAGGATGGAGGTGCGGTGCCGCGGTGCTCGTCTGTATCGGTATCGGTATGTCCGACATCAGCAGTAAGTGTATAGCAGTAGCAGTTGTGTCAGCGGCGGCGGCGGCGGCGGCGGCGGCTTGCAAACGGAGGTTTGGAACTGGCTGGTTTATATTTAGTTAGTTTGACATTTTGGGTAATTGAAAGCAACGGTTTGGTAGGTGTTTTAAATCACCCTGCAGTTTCATGTCTTGGGTTTTAGGGTTTTAGGGTTTTACCTCAAGGTAAACGAATGGTCATTGGTCAGTGAATGGTAGGTGACACGGCAGTAGCGTATGCGGCCATGAGAGGGAGGGCTCTTGACTTCTACGATCCCAACATCCTACATATGATTAGCCGATACGAATAATCACAACCAGGGAATTGTAACCAAAGAAAGGTGCCGAACAAGCACCTGACAATCAAATACGTCCCGTACGGCTGCACCGGCTGGTGTCGTACGGGTAACAGCAATAATAACAACAACAGCAGCAGCAGCAACAGCGGCAGGCATTGTTTCCAACGTCTAGGTGCGTTTCTGAAGCGAAGCAACGGAGGCGTAAGCCGGCGGCGGGATTCTTGTGGCTCTGACTGGTGCTGCGGCTCTGGAAGACTTTGGTTCCCCTAAAGGGGACAACCCTTTTGCTGCCCCTCGCCCAGATTGCTGTTGTCGCACCCCCTTGCCGCCTCTCCCGCCCACAGCAGTATTAGACACCACCCCAACGACCCTCCAAGTCAGCATGCTGGAACGCCAAGCACCTTCGTCCCGTTATGCTTTCGCTACCTCGCCACACCGCACCCTATTCGCCACTTGCGTTTGATTGACGTTTAACTGCCGCTGCTGGGGTTGTTAGATAGGATGAACAGTCAATTGGGCCTGTACGGCTAGCAACCGAATTGGTTGTAGGTTCCCCCCACAGTAAACTAACCCTTCCCAAGCACCGACGTACCCAAGCCCACCTACCTAACCCATCCACAAGCAGGTCTGGACCTCCAAGCGGACGACGTACGGTTATAAAACCCGCGCAGTCCCATTACGTGTGTATGTGTGTATGTATGTCTGGGGGGTTGTCCAGGCCCCGAACACAGGCCCTAACCCAACCAACTCTAGTCCTAACTGTAACCAACTAACTCACGTCTGACCTAGGCCCACCCACAAACCTGAAGTACGCACAAGCAACCACAAGCAGCCCTTCCCGCCAAAGCCATATCTCAGCCGTATCCCCCATCTTTGCAGGCATCTATTACGTCTGCAGTCACGCACTGATAACGCAACCTAACGCGAGCGAGCTCACCCGACAACCCGCAGCACCCGCAGCACTCAGGTACACCCACCCACCCACCCACCCACCCACCCACACCTACCGGTTCGTGTCGGCGTCCTGTCCCCCCAGCACTCTCCACCACCGACTTCCGCTGCCGCTGCCGCCAACACCACCGCCAAGGCCGCCGCCAAGCCCGCCGTTGCCCAGCAGGCCGCCGCCAACACCGCCGCCGAGCAAGCCGCCGCTGCCCAGACCGGTTGCTCCAGGGAGCGCGAGGGCGTCGCCGCCAGCTCCTCCCCCTCCTCCTCCGAGGTTGCTGGCCAAACCGTTAACCAGACCGTTGCCAAGTAAACCACCGCTGCTGCTGCTGCTGCTGCTGCTGCTCAGACCGGCGACGGCTCCAGGGAGCCCTCCACCCAGACCGCCGCCGACGCCGATACCGTTGACGATATCGTTACCGCCAACACCGATACCCGGAATGCTCGTCATCAGCGGCTGCAGTACTCCTGGCCAAAACCCAGATCCTATGGTGCTGCCGCTGCTGCTACTGCTTCTACTGTTATCGCCGCCGCCGGCGGAGGGGCTGGTGAAGATGCTACCGCCCCCGTCAGCTCCCACCATTGGTAGGGCCAGCTGCTGCTGCCGCTGCTGCTGCTGGATCGGAGGCTCCGTGTGAAGTTCTTGCTCCATCTGGCTTGGCTTCGGCTTGAGCTTGGGCACCGGCTTCGGCTGTCGTAGTCCCACCCGCGGTTCGCGCTCCTGCTGCTGCTGCGGCGGCGGCGGCGGTGGTTGCGTTTGCTGCAGCTCTTGGGTCCGCAGAAGCGTGAGGTCCTCCATGTCGATAGCAATAAGCCCGCCATCATCCTCACTCAGCGGACGACGACGGCCTTGCTCTGCCTTGCCGTACCTGTCGTACGTCAACGTCGTACTATGTCTGCCGTACTCCGCCGCCGCCGCTGCCGAGGCCGCTTGTGCGCCCTCAGTGGCAACGGACAGGATGACAATACTGGTCAAAATCCAAGCGGCCCAGCCGCTCGGTTCGCTGGGGCTTGTACGGCGACGTGTGCCGTACATCCTTCGAACCCAGGGTCGAATGCCGCAGGATGCTGAACGTAGCATCTTCTCTGGGGTTGGCGGTCGAACAGCAGCACGTGGACAGGGGGTTAGGATCAACTTTGATCTTCGCTGCGCGAGCTGCGAACTGCTGCGAACTGCTGCGAACTGCTGATTGGGTGGGCTTGCTGGGTGGTCACGCGGGTAGATCACTTGCGTGTTGCTGCTTGTGAAAGCCTTGCCGTATCCGCAGTAGTAGTAGCAGAAGCGGCAGCGATGGTAGCGGCTAGCTGTGTGGCTCGTCACGCTATATGACTTGACTTGCTCCAACTGGCAGAATCGGTTATCCAAAACAAATCCACTGAAAAAATGGACTCGGCGGACAAATTAGGGGCGGGTGATGCGCGCCAGGGAAAACTACGGCATTCGTAGCCAGGAGTGCCCAAAAGGGGCAGTAAGGCGCTGTATGGAGCAAAGCACGCGTTTCAAGGTGCTGACTGAAGTGTGAAGAATCTATCGGCCTTTCAATACCTTTTTTGGCACATGAGGTATGACATTTGAGGTTGGGTGTTGGTTGGTTGGTTGGTTGGTTAGTTCGTACGCAAACAAGGTGAGGGGTATGATGTGATTGAGGGGTAGGCGGCCGGGGGCGGCTGAATGGTGGGAGATGGTCGGTTCTTTTTGTGTTCGTACTCGTACATCGCCTGTCAGGATGGTCGCATCACCAGGCGTGGATATATAAGAACGGAGCTTCTTCTGTCACCTTTGCATGGCTTCGGTTGTTCTCGGCTCCCTTGGGAAAACGTATATATATAGTTTTAAGTAGTTGGGACGAACAGAATGACAAGGACAGATATTGACAGATGCGGTCAAGGATTAGCAAAGACATATGAGACATTGGCCTTACGGAGTTGTTTAAGGTGGATAGATAAGGACTATTGCGTTACTGTGAAAAATGGGCAGCGAGATGGCGTAACATTGTTTCCCATGAGCGGGTGAGGAGGGATACAAGCAAGTGTGACGTACCGATGCCCGTGCGTTCCCTCACGGTATAGGAGAGGCCTGCAAGGAGGTAAAAAATGATATATCTGAGGACATAATCAGGTCTGCTTATCTTATTTTGAATTGAACATCCGTCTGCTGAGACTGGTGTTGTTTCGCAAAATGGGGAGGGTAGGAATCTGGGGCCCATTCGACGATGCGAAGTCCAGTCTCACAAAACGCAGAATGAATACCTTTTTTGCAGGAAACCCCTAACGCGTTCACGGAGAACATAAAACAATGCAGCAGCCTTATAATTAAGCTGTATTGCATATTACGGATCGCCGGCACAGCTCCGGCACAGAAACCGCTGGATATAGCTCTTACCTAAACACTCATGTAATATTGCTTTTAAACAAACTCCACTGTGGGGTACACTTGCTTAATAATTATATTTGTCTCAACGGAGAGGAACGAAGAACGACCCACGTTCACGGGACAACAGGCTGCAATAAGCGCACTTGAACATAGGTCATGTAGTTTAAACTACTACATGTATCTTTGTGACAGACCCTACGGCCTTCGGCCTGTCGCCTTGACAGTGGTGTTGCTGCTGACAGTCGCCGAGGCCATCGTCGCGGTCCAACCAGGCGACTTACTCAAACATAGTGCAAGGACTATTCACAGCATCTCAAATAATGTCGGATCATTCGGCAGAGGCGCGTCAAATGCCGGCGGGCAGCCGTCATCAGGCGATGAAGGCCTTCAGGCCGCCTTCAATTACACCGCGCTCGAGTGCAGCCGATACGAAATCACCTACTCTCAAATTGAACGCGACCTGGAAATCCACCGCAAGCTGGGCGGCGTCTCGTTGGAATCCACGCGCTACTTTTCTGCTCGATACGGCGGCACCGCCATGCGCGGAGCCACTGTTGGGTGAGGCGGCACGCTAAATATTGAACATTGCCCACGCAAGCATGACCTGGACTCAGACAAGTCCAGGGGTATCTATCGAGTGAAATTGGTTAAGGGGGTTTTGTGGAAGGGGGGCAGTGAGGCCCGTGTAGCACTGCACTGCAGCACTAGACGGCAGGGTTCGCCGGGGCTGGTCTAGCAGCTCCCAATCCAACCAATACCCTAACTGTCCTAACTGTCTCTTAACTTCCAATCGCGAGTCCTCAGCTGCAACCCAGCCCTCTTTCCCTTGGGGACTTGGCATTGGGGGGAAGGGGTCATGGCGATAATGATGAACACGAAAGCGCTAAAGGGAAAACCTAATTGGCTCAGCTCTTCCCCAGCTTCCGCTCAGGGGGAGCGGAGGAAGGGAGATAACATAGGGGGGGGCCATAGGGTCCCTTGGGACAGTAAGAAGTCGCATGGGGTATCCTTTCCATAGGGCCACAGAGGTTGGTATTCTATGCATCGCTGTTGAAGGTATAGGGAGGAGCAGTCCAGCGCCTGATAATCGGGAGTCTGTGAACCTGTGAGCCTCAGGTTTGGAAAGGATGTTTTTTTGGAGGGGAGGGAAGGAGGGTTTCATGGGGAATATGGCACGTAAATGGCACGTGTGCACACCGTACCCTGTACGGCATGTAGCTCACGTCGTACGTCCCCCGCTCCCAAATCTCCATTTCCCCATCCATCTTCCTCTCTATCAGGTTTCAGCAGTTAGCCCGCCCGGTCCAACCTCGGTGGTCTGCCGTACTGTATGGAAAAAACATTAACTCCCACACACATACACACACACAAATCAAAACGCATATGGTTCCACACTTCAAATCCCCCACATCCGCCTTCCTGTTGACACTGCAAAATGCCACTCTGGAAACCCCATCACCAACCCTCTCCCCCGCTTCCTCTCTGTCACTTTCACTTTCATTTTTATTCTCTGCCGATTTTCCCAAATGCCACCGTTCCGCCATCCCCGCAGTTTCTTCGGCGGTCGTGCCTTCCTGTTGAGCCCCACAAACGCCTCAGATCTAGTAGGGGGTCTCGGCCATCACGGCCACCTCCATGTTGCCTATTTAAGAATGCTGCTGCACGTGGAAGGTTACTTCGGAACGGCCATACCTGATGTGGTGTTCGTGCTCACAACCTCAGACACACCCCGATATGTAGGTTAAGGGATTGGCCGGATGGAAATTTGGTTTTAGCAGGTTTTAGGTGGTTTTCTTGAGGGTTTTTGAAAGTGGGTTTTTAACCACCGCTCTCTGTCTTACGTATGACACCTTGGCAGCAGCGAGACTATGCGCGGCGATATCAGGGGGGGTTTTGGGGCCCTATGCTTGGCCTATGTTCGTCTCGGCTTGTTTGTCTATCTATCTATCTGTCTGTTTGTCCGTCTGGCTGCCCGTCTGGCTGCACCCCTTACTGCTTCATGACACAGTGCTTACGGCGAGAGCATGCCCCCCGCACCTCAAAGAGTTTGACACCTTACACATTCGCCGTACACCTTACACATTCGCCGTACCGGATAACGCAGGTCTCACCGCTGGTAGTTAACTCAAGCAGCCCGCGGTCCGAATGGCCAAAGTACGGCTCAGAGCTCGTACCAGGGCCGTACCCCGTGTGCGGCATCGGCAAGAGTGACTTTTTCCCTGACCTGCTGCTGGTTCCCAACTTCCATTTCCACATGAAGTGAGTTGCCTAAATAGGTTGCCTGGGGGAGTGAGGGTAAAATAAGGTAAAGGGATAAAGTAAGGCACGAACGGGGTTAAATGGCCGAGAACGTGGAGATTGAGGGTTGTAGGGATGGAGGGATAAAACGGCGGAAGGAAGAAAGAAGCTATATCCCTGACCAAAGGGACCACCAAAGGGAACAACTTTTGTGGGATTAATTTTTATACTAGTATTTAGTAGCCATAGCGTTTATTATTATAGATTGGAAGAGGAGTTTTATTATAGATTAGTAGCCCAGGAATAGAACCCAAAAGAAAACCCTGCACCGGTCCGAAAGACCTGAGAGATTTATAGGGAATTGGGGGAAAGACCTGGACAGGGTCCGCGGGACGAAAACCCCAAACCCATTTATTCCATCCATGATAATGTATGCCGTACTGTACAATTTACGACAGACTGTACGACAAGGCGCTCTTGTCCAACCTTCCCAAATTTGATGAGATGCCGTGGAAGGAGCGCAAGCCCGTACTGTTCGGCCGCTTCAGGTACGAAAGAGTGTACGGCATATGGCGTCAGCGCCCCGGTATTTTTTCACTACATATTTTCATTGGTGACGTTAGGGGGATTCTCTTGTTGGCTATGGTGATGATGGCGGCAGGGTGGCCGTGGGCGGTTTCGGAGGCACGCTAGTTTCGGAGCAGACCTCTTTCTAGCTGCTGGAAGCGGTTATGAGCGGTAATATTAGTAAACTAAAATTACACTAGACGCGTTTCGTTGGGCCTTACATAGAGCGTTGCCAGCAGCAGGCGCGTGGCTCAAGGGGACCTTAGGTTCTCTTAAGTTATATATGGGCTACGGGTCGCAGAGTTGGTGCGTCCATTTTTAATAATGCGCGATGTACGGCAGGTCAAGGCTATGCCTTGCATTGTACAGCATGCATCAATACACCTGCTGGAGAAAGAAGAAACCACCTAGCGTAGCAACCCACCCACCAACCTCGCCTTACCCCACCTCCCCTCACCCCGACATGGCGAATGAGAGAACGTACTCGTCACACTACTATACCACAACCTCGCAACCCACTTGCTCCTCGTCGTACCCTGTTCCCCATCCGCCCATCCGCCCGCCCGCGTGTATCCGTGTCCCTCCACCCGGGGGAAAACACACGCGCACATCCACGTCTGGCTCCGAAGCCATTACCGTACGAACCGTGTTTCAGAGGACATTTTCACGTACAAGGCCGGTCTTAACGGCCGCCGTATATGCTATAACGGTAATAAAACCTGCCCCATCCGAGACCATTTCATCACCAAGGTTGTACCCAAGGTATGTCGTACAAATAACTGCTCGTACGTGTCCCCCTGACACGTTCCCATTTCCTTACGCCTACGACCCTCTTGTGTGATGCTGCCCGGATCGCTCCCTTCCTCTTAGTATTTATACACACACATAGACACACACACACACACGCACACGCACACACATAGACACACACAGACACACACACGCACACACACAGACACACACGCACACACACACGCACACACACAGACACACACACAGACACACACACAGACACACACACAGACACACACACAGACACACACACAGACACACACACAGACACACACACACTTATGCGTGTGTCTTTGTGTGTAATGTCACAATGACGTTCAGGGCCCGGGTCGTCTGGATGTATCATTTGCCGGCCGCATACCGATGGAACGACACTCGCACTACAAGTACTTGCTTACTCTGGATGGACAAGGGTACGGAAGTACGGGTGTACGGGAGTCTGGTAGCGCGCGGAAGCGATAGCGGAAGTACGGGGATAGCAAAGGCTGACAGCTTTTGCCCTCAGGATTTTAGGATTTCTACTTCTGTTGTTACGTGCCGTGCTGGATGAGAACTGGGTCGATGCGTGGCTAGGTAAAGTGATGCAAGAGCTGTGCATGTGAGGAGGGGGTGTATCAATTATAATGAAGGTCCGCTAACCCCCCTCAAATTTGATAAATCCCCGGCTCCCACTCAGCAGTTTCGGATATTTGGTGTCGGCAGCAGCTCACTTCCCACTTTCTCACACGCACATGGTTTCCCCCCAACCAGAGCCTTTCCCCCCTCCACCCTTTTCAGCATATCCTCTCGCCTGGAGCAGCTCCTTCCCATGGGCAGTTTGGTGTTCAAGCAGACATCTGGCTACTACGCGTATTACTACAGGAGGTGACTGTGTGCGTGTGTGTATTTGCGCTGGAAGGGTTTTCACGTGCTTGAACCTCTACGTACGTACGTATGTATGTATGTGCATGCGTGTTTTGTGGCGTGGTCGCTTTTAAAAAAATTAGTTCATCCATTAAAGCGGTACGTGATCTGCTTTTTCATTAATCCCTCATGTTGCACCATCTGATTGCTCACTTCGTCACCTTCGGATGGCTGAAGCCTCCCACCAGCACTCTCCGTGTCTGCCGTCTGCCAAAAGCTCCGTGTCTGCCGTCTGCCAAAAACCCCTCTTGCCAGCCTTCTGAAACATCGGGTAAACATTATCGAGTTCTGGCGGGATCGTGACGGCGACGGTGACGGCGGCGGGGGCCCCGAGGACGTGTTCACGGAGCTGGACTGGGCGGCTGCGAACGACGAGGCTGCGGCTGCGATAGCGGCTGAGGGGCAACGCATTGCGGCCACCTACCTGACGGGGAATGGCAGGACGTGCTACTGGTACAGGTGGGCGGTGCCCATTGGGGGGGTTTGGGGTCCCGAGATGGATGGTGTCCGGGGAAATACCGGAGGCCTTGAAGATGAGGACTGTTGGGGCGTGTGTGTGTGGGGGGGGGGCGCATGTGCGTGCCGCATGCGGGAGAGAGTTTCCGGGTTTTAATAGGAGGAGGTAAAACTCTAACCGCCTCTAACTCTCGGGGGGCTTCGGCACGGAACCCAGTGGGACTGGTCCGAGGGATTGTGGCGGGTAGAGGACGTGGGGTTAGGACGAGGAGTGTGGAGGGAGGTCGTAGTCTGGCGTGTGTTAGGGGGGAGTGATTTGGGGGGAAAAGGAATTATGAATATTCGACGGTACGGCTGCGCATTATTTTGTGTACGTCAGTTTACTAATTGTCGTACTGCTATGTCGTGCCATTGCGTCGTACCGATGTATATGTGCGCCAGTGTGTGCTAACGAATGTTCTTCCGCATCGAAAACTGCACATGTGCATTTCCGTACTCCCTTTTTAATAGCTTGGGTGCCTGTTTGTATGTCCATGCGTACCTGCATTATTGCAGGCTGCTGCATGGACTCCGGAGCGTGTTGTCGTACACTCCCACCCTGTCCCAGTGGCCTAACGCCCAACCGCTAAGGCGGTTATTAGAGGAAGATCTTCCGGCAATCCCTGGAGGGAAAGAGCTGTACGACAGGCCGTGGGCGCCGTAAAAGAACTGCCCTGGAAAGGGCAGGGTGGTTGCGACGGACGGTACCGTACGGACCGTGATATGCACGTGTTTCGGTCCAAGGGTTTCGGAGCGAGAGGATTGTTGTTGCCAACAACTTGTTGGGCGGTCTTGAGGCCTTAGCACTTGCTAGCGCCAATCAGGGCTGAAGTAAGTTGGAGGCGGCCGCTGAAGAAGCGGCGAACTGTTAGCGAGCTTTCCGTTGTTCTGTCCACTTTTTCCTCCAAGGAATGATGTGCAAATGAGCCTAGCGCGAATAAGGACGCAGGGAAAGAGAGAGTCCAAAAGCTGCATATTTTAAATTTGAATGCAGTGAGGAGATTTCGTGTATGCGTGTTTCCTATTATGTCTGTATGTGTGCGTGTGTGCGTGCGTGCGTGCGGCGGAATGTGTGTGTGGTGTGTTTTGGTGGGGAAGAGGATGATGAGTTGGCATCTTCAGCCAGGAGCAGGGGGCGTAGACGTGGTGGCGACGGAACCCGCGATTGAGATGGCGGCAGGGAGGGCTATCGCAGGTGGTGGCCGCGGAATGCTGTACAGCGCCACAAGCGGGTTGAAGACGACGGCGAATTATTCAGAGATAGTGACAGCGCAGACGGATAAGAAGAGGGGGATACATACGTGAGGGAAGAGGGTAATGTGGGAGAGGGGAGAGAGAGTTGATGAAAGGAGAGAAAGAGAGAATGGATGGAACAGACCAGCGCGCGCACAGGCGGTTATTTTCTACTAACACGAGCATATCTTTTTTTCGTCACTGGGCTAATCTTATCTTGGCAAACAGCGGAATTGGTTCCGTCCAAGGTCGGCTCCTCAGTCCTGGAGGGCTCTATATCTATCTTTTTCGTTTTAAGTAAATTGTATGTCTGGAAGGCAGATGCCGGTAGACATATGGATTGCTTTTCTTCTTGTGTTGCAGCTATTTTGCGATGATTAGCTATAGCGAGGATGCGATTGTTACAGTGGACCCCGAACGGGTCGAGTGCAGCGCCCATAGGAACGCCTCCCGCACAACACTGTGGGCCTTATTCAAAAAGAACTCGGCCAGGCCGTACTAACTTCACTGGACACACGGCCTCAGTTAGTACGCTTAAACAAAAAATTGAGGCTCCGACGTGCGCCCTCAAACTTCGTCATTGTATATCGGTAAACGGCAAGCAACCATGTCTGCGTCATTGACATATAAGAAAGGGTGATTGTGAGGTACATGATCCCAATGTTTTGGCAAGTAATCCCGTGCCGCAAAAGCAGTTAAACGGGCCCAAAAGTCAGAGATAACCTCGTATGTAATGCGGTTAAGCGATGGCGTTGATATAGGCATGTTGGTCTGGAGACCTTCCTTAAACAACAAACGGCGACCGAGATTGAGTGAGCTGATGGCCGCGAGGCATACAACCTCCCATACACACGAACAAATCCAGGTTGGTGGAATGCCCAACCACAGGTTAGCCCGGTTGAAAAGGTCAGGGAACTCAAGTTCGTTTTGCAGAGCTTCACGAAGAGCCAACGCGACAGTACAATCCCAGAAATGATGCCGACGATCCCCACAAAGCATGCGTACACCACAGGGGCACATAGCAGCCGGGATACCTCTTTGACGTGCGCC